TTGCTTTGATTAATTTTAAACGTCCAAGAACTAAAGAAATATGTTGTTTTAAGACTTGCTTGGTATACCAAATTTTACAAAACAATAAGCTACATTCAACAGACAAAGTCTGAAAACGTTCAAATTTCCAACTTCTCAGTAGACTAACAACCTCAATTTAACTTTGATGCAACTTTAAATCAAAGGACATAATGAAAATGAAAGGCTATTATCACTGTTCAACAGTCGCTTTCAGCACAGGGGTCCCCCACTTTGATTGTATCACATTTGGCGGTGTTTCTTCAACCTGATTAAATATAGTTACTGACAAAACATATAGACGACGATCTAACATATTTCAAACCTCTGATTACAAATTAAGTTACATGGTTCGATTGACGGACAAGGATGACGCTAGCAGTCTTTGAATGCGAGATACGCCGCTTGGTCAAAAATATAGGCACAACAAATTTTCCATCATAACACTGAAGCCAGTTTTGATAACCTCGTCCCTTAACCCTGTCTCTGTCAGTCCCCCTGCACTTCCTTGTCAATAGCATGATCTAACTTCCTCCTATCAAACAAACGCACAGCTCTCATTCTCACAAATTTCAGTGAATGACAGGAAAAAATAAATAAGACACTTTGTTTACATGATAATAATATTCGCTTAAACCGATCAACTCTTACTGCTTGAATCCGATTTAATTTTCATAACCTCATAGATTATCACTCGTCAAAAACAATATATAACATTAGCCAGCTTTAGGACTAATAGAATTACTAACTTGCACTGATATTTAAACCAACCTTTAGATCGCAGCTTGCTTGAAAGACCTGTCACGCCTATAACAAGTTCTCTTGAAAGTGTTCCAATGTTTATTTGCTGAGATGTCCAAATACGACTTTTTTGCCAAAATATCCCCGCCCTCTGACATGTATGGATACCATTTACATAACAGACCATGCCTATTGTCTCGCCGGAGTGAAAATGGAAAAAAGGATCGCGTGCACAGCAAGAAAGGTGTTTAGCACGATTCCCCATTTAAATGGAGACATTTTGGCGAAAACTCTTTTAAAATATACCCGAAAAGTTCCTAACGGTCACAGCACAATTCAGTACAAAATTCCCTTCTTAGTCAAGAAAAAACGCAGTATTTTTTTTTACAATTTTTTCCTTGGCCAGAAACGCCAGAGGACAAAATGAGAAGAAACTTAAAAAGTTATTTTCAATATCGCAAACAAACAGCTACGGCGGGTCAACAGTGTTCATCTTTGGTGAACTGTCAAAGCGCAGGATTTTATTGGTGGATTCTGACGGTAGTTTAGCGTCAAAGGAGCCATATCCTGGTATTAAAATACGATAAATAAAAGTGATCTTCAAAAAAACTCACATTAAGAAATAAAAATAACATTTTTATCATGTTACACACCTGTTTTGACCCAAAAAGGGAAACAGTGTTTTTCAAATGCAGGAGTTATTGGCTCACTTTTCATACAATGAATGATATGCGTGAATAATTTAAGATGGCACTTTATGCGATGTCGCGAACTGGTATTTAAGTGGTTAGCCGAACTCCTTCCGCTCAACATTTAGGTTTGAAATGTTTATTTTCATCACAGGAAAATCGTTAAACCTACTTAAAATCTTGAAAACCAAAGGTAGTCACGCACGAAATTCAACCATTTACGCGAAAACACATTCCAAACCCTAAAAACACTGCTTTAATAGTGTTAAAAATGCCCGATATTTCCGAGAGCCGTGAGCTGAAATTGGAACATGTGATGGAGCCTTGTCCAGCTGCATATATTGGGCTTCAAAGTGCTGGTAAACAATGAAATATCCGATATTCTTCTCAAGGCACACTTGCACACGCGAACCAAGAATAATTGACAGTTTCGATGGTTTTAATGGCTTTTTGTCAAGTGATGAAGAGCTTACATGAAAGATATGCCTAAAGGTTTTCCATTGAACTCGAGACGTGGATAAAATTGCTTCCATCAATGGCTCACGTCCAGAAATGACATTCACGCGATGAGAAAGTTCTGCTATTAAAGGTATCCTTGTCGATGCATTTTCAAGTAGAGTGAATAAACTGCAACTCATTTGAAACTCACTGAGCTATTATTTCATGGCATTATTGTAACCGCAATCAAGAAAAAAACCTAATGCAATCGGCCACCTACAAGGCAACACACGTTTGAAAGATTGAGCCAACCTTAACAGAACAGAAATACGTCTTTTTGACTCCTTTTGTTTTAATTTTTTCTGTAAAGCATTCGATTTTTAAATTCAGTTTCAAAAGAAAAAAAACGAAAGATGCCATGAAATGACAATAGCTTTAACAGGAGCACTTGCTCTTTTTAAAGCAATAAAAAATTTTCTTATTCTAGCTATTTGAGCATCGTTGAGACGTTTAACTAAATTATATAAAACGTGGATACATAAGCTTCAACAAAAAATTAGGTAATGATTCTGTTAGAAATTTCTTGTTATATACTCTCACGTGACGAATATTTCATTACCGAGAAACTCATTTTAATGAATGTGTGAAAAAATACTTAACACAGCGGATTCTTCTATCCAGCCAGCTTGTTCACGACTCACGGCTATGCGAGTCAATTCAATTGAAAAAACATTTATGGGACTTAAAAGTTTTAGACAAATAGTCGAGGTTGGCAGCGTTTTGTCGCTCCAATAAAAATTTTACTGACAACTTTTCAATTCTATTTTTGTTTATATTATGTCCTAATTATTATCTGACAAGTTTCTATTTCTTTCTTTCAAAAACATCATTGGATTAATTTATTAATCTTTTGTAATCCATACGAACCTTGTTGCTCAGTCGACAAGCCATGTATATTTAGCCCTCAAATTTGGAAAGCCAAGAAACTTCCAGTGTGTTACGCTTGTATATGACTGACTAAACCATCCAAACCAGATTGAAAAATGCAAATATAACTGCAAACTTTTTATTTAAAAATGCGCCCCTATATAGGCTTTGCGAGGGATCAATAACATTTTTTATCATTCGGCATGTGATAGCTTTGATCTTCCGGCTTTTTAACGGACAAAACGCGTAAGGGTATTTCCGCGCAAAAAATTTTGGACAACCTGCTCAATAAATTTTTTGAAACCATTGAACCTACTACTCAGCCATTAATAGCCGAGCACCAGATGATGTGATTGGAGAATGAATGCTGCACTCTGCACTGAACTTGCCGTACCCAGTGCCAAGTTCAGAAAAAAATAGCCGTAAGTTTGATTTTCAAAAAGCTGAATTTCCGTGGGGAGGTCAGACCGCTCAAAATAGCAGCTTCGATTCATGCACAACTTACAGAGAATTCAAGGACAAAATTCTTTCAAACCAGACTTCGTTGCTAAGATACCAGTTATATGAGTTACATTTGAGCCTTGAAATCGTGTTCTCTGTCACGGTCTTGGAGCCGGAAAACTTTTTTGCATTCGCCACTACCACATCTCCCATAATGCAACTTGTCTGCCCCCCTCCATCGCCCCCTCACCCCTTCCCCTCTAACAAAAATATTTGCATAACAATCGTCTTCAACTGCTGTTGGGACGACTGTAATTCTTAGTTTGCAACCACGTGACAAGGAGGCCATGTAGCGGGGTCAAGACAATAAAAGTTTTTCTCAAAGATTTTACATGAAAACAGAGTTTAGCAACCTCGTACCCAGGCCAGTTCGCGCTATCCGAGTTACTAGAGGAGGCTTGGAGCCGAGTGTCCTAGGTGAATTTTCCCGACAAGCTTGACAGTGACGTCACATCCGAAATCACCGAGGACGACTGGGAACGAGGCTGAGAGTTTAGTTCCCGGAGGAGAGAAATGCTTTACTTCTTGACCACCAACATGGATGCTGTAACGTCACGTGCAAATACCCAGGAGAAATAAAAAACAAAGGTAAGGCAAAATTTCGGGGGCAAACAAGGTGTATTATGGGAGATGTGCAAACGGCGAATACACAGGACATTGAGAAACGGGACGCCTCTTAATTCTGGAAGAAAAAATAAAAAACGGGCTATATTTTGCCCTCTTTTGAAGAAAGAGGAAGTGTGCTTGATGGGACGATTATCGAGATACAGGATTTTTTAAAGTGGACAGGAATTAACGGATAATCGATGGAAAAAATCAGTACTTTTTTGCCGGTCTGTTGTAGACAAGATTACTTACGCAAAAGTTGTTTCAAATGAGAAAAGGAAAGAAAAAGTACTGAAGACGCTGTTAAAAGCCTCCAGGTTGCTTACATTTTCCATGGGGGTGGGGGATTAGTGGAGAGGGGGTCTCTGGGCTGAAAAACAGCACGAAGTTCAAGAAAGGGAGAGACGCGGTCTTCACAGACCCTACGGGCGTTTGAGGCTCGTGAGCGGAATCTTTAAAAGTCTTTCAAAACCAATTTGAGAGAAACATAGCCCGACCATTTTGTAGTCTGGGCCGTGGGGGTGCATATTGAGTTTAGTGATACACAAAGCTTTTAACAAATGAATAGGAAGAAACATGCTGAAGTTTCTCCTACTGGAAACAGGACCTCTGTATCTACGTGGTTATCTGAGCCACTAGGCGAAGGTCTGGCCATTTGCAGGCAGACCTTTATTTCTCAGTTACTTTAGACGCCGAGTATCTGCCCGAAAGTATTTCATTCGGTTAATTTTACATTAATTTAATGACTAGACAGATAAATAAACAAATAAATAGATATTTAGCGCTCATGTCATTCCGCTCACCGATTCTTTTTTTTTTTCTAAACCTGACTCATTTCCTTCAAAGAATCACATCTTTTAATTGATTCACATTGCCACAGCTGGAAACGTTAAAGTATTGAGCTTAAGACAATTATTCCTTTAACACTTTGCGCACTCTACAGTTGGAGCCAGTCAAGACTTTATTCTTATCTGAATTGTATTTAAATCGTTAAAAGTCGCATTACTAATCAGCTGTCATCAAAGTGATGAGTTTCAGTTATTCAGATTAAAAGCTAATCCTAACAACCAACTGCTGTCGGAAAGAAATCAGCTGTCTGCGCGTCTCCGTTAGTTTAAAATGCGTTGTATTCGAGTGAGGCGGCGTTTCAGACGCCAGAAAATAAGTTTTTTCGCCGTAGTAATTATGTGCAATGAACCTGTATCTCTCATCAAAATCAAAGACATCAAATTTGCACCTGAGCGATTTTATGCGGTATATTTTTCAGTTTTAACAGCCTCGGGCAAAAGCAGCAACAAAATACGCGCACTCGACGCAGCTCCTGACAAAGATTTCGCACCAGGAACGTTCCATGTAAGAACGAGCTTTGAAGTAAGCTTGGTACCTCAGGGTCTAATATTTGCTTCTCGAAATTGTTTTTTATCTAATCACAGACGTTTAAGACAATGTTTATTACTATATATTACGGCGATCAGGAGTCACTGTTGTTTAACCCAAGCTGCTCCGTCGTGAATCTACTGGAGTCGATTAAAGAAAGATGCGGTTATGGAGATACAGATCGAGTGTTGGACCTAACAGACGAAACAGGTATGTAACAGTACAACTGGTGAATCTGGTGAATTGGGAATAAAATTCCGTAAAAGGAAAAGATGCTTGAAATGCAAGAGGAAATAGCAGTTATGCGTTATATTTTAGGAAGTCCTTGGGGTTTCATTTCTCGAAAGCCTTTCGCTGTTCATACTATTGGCAATTAATAAAAAAGAAGAGAAATTTTCTTCGGTACCGAACAAGAATAAGCAGCCTTTCGTGAATGACCGAGAAGGCTTTTCTCACTTCATGGGCTTTCATGAATTCTGCATATAAATGACAAGTTTGCGCCACAATACAAACGCCTCAATGTCAATGATCGGAGTCTAAGCAACACGAGACGGGGCCAGTTATAAAGGCATTTACAGAATGAATAGCCAGAGTACAAATCTTGAAGTCTTTTGACAATATTCTGCCAATTTAGTGCAAACTAAATATCAACAAACTAAAATAGAAAGATTCCGCTGCTAAAAAAGCCTTCACTTGAGTGCTCATCCGTCTGGAACTCATCCAAAACTCTTAAGATCACACTTTGAAAAGGAAAGGTCAACAAGGACCTCTGTTTTCAAAATAATCTTCAATAACACCAATTTTGCCCACGGCCCTTTTCTACTATGTCACCTGAGTCTAACATGGTCTTGTTATGAATGACCGACAACAGTTGGTGCCATTGCCTCATCCCGAAGAAATAAGCCCTAGCCTACGGTCTGATTTTTGTAACAACATCAATTGCACATTATAATTACTTTGACGAAGTACGATAAAATACGTTATTACTTGAATTTAACCACCGGCCATGTGCATGTATTCTAAAAACAAACGTACAAGAAGACCACAACGTAAGTTTACATTCAATGTGCCCACAAGGCCTGGCCCACTGAGGGCTGTATATCTCCCTTTGAGTGAATTTTTAAATTTTCAAGCCATAACCTTAGAGAAAGAATACATTTTAAAAATCGAAAACTGCAAACTAGAAAAGACTAAAACTGACAAGCACTTACATGTCTCGTAGCACTACTTTATTTAAAGAAAAGTTAACGCTGTTCATGCAGGGTGACCTCCTTTAGTTTGGTTGTTGTTTGTTAATGTTTCATACAGAAGCTGAAATTCTTGTTTGTTAATGTTCTATAAAGAAGCTCAAATCAAATACCAATCCTAGTCCAGTTAATTATCAACGAACTTGCAAAAACTGAATGGATTTCAAGGGACTGTATACACTCAACAGTTTTTTTTTTAGTAAGAATATATTTTATAAGAATATCGAGGCTGAAATATGCGAAATTTTAAGAATATTATAAGAAACCCGAGGCTGAGATTTTCAAAAAGACATAATTTTATGTTGAAAATCTGTTACTAAAATACAATTATGTTTTTTAACTTAACTGATATAAATATTCCTTTCTCTTTACGGGAAAACTAGCGTGCAAACTTAACAAAAACTGCACCAACTAATTGAGCCAAATGTTCAAGTGAATGCTAATAACAGTTCGATGAACGGTACATTGATGCCCCAATACATGCTAAAACGGAAATGACATAAGCTTCAATTTAAGAATTAATACACGAATGTTTTCAGCCTAAAATCGGTAGAAAAATAAGAATATTCAGCCTAGGCCGGAAAAGCAACATTCTTATAAAAAAGAAAGGGTGTAAAAGCAAAACATCCAAAGTAAAAACTGAGATGTAAAGAAGCACGTAAATACACACAATTCAGTGTTGTAACAAAACAACTTGAGAACATTGCTTGTAGAGCATGATAGACAGTACCAAAAAAGATTGCTCTGTAGCTTTTGTTTGAATGGTCACTCTTTAGGATTTCATTTACAGACTCAAACGTTAGAACCACCTTGTACAGAGTAACAAAATTACCTCAGTTCAGGAAAGTACTGCTACTAGGGGTCTCCAAAGTTCCAGCCACCTTGCTCACCATTGATCATATTATCCCTAGACTAGAGGTAATCATTGATTACGGATCCGCGTTCGTCACTGACGGAAAAATCACGGAAACGAAATGGAGTCGAAAGGAGTCCAGTTTCCCGGCCGAGGTGCCCCTGATAAAATTAATAGGGGCGGCTAATTTGCAGTCGACCGTGATAGCTCGAAAATTTCTGCCTTAGTGCCACAGGAACACCAGATTAGCATGCGTTCTGACGAACGCGAAAACTTGATCTCTAAAGCTGCCTCCGGTGGATAGCGCTATCCAACGTTTGAACAACCAGGGCCAGTGTTACAGGCAATTTTAAGTGACAAAACTTAGTTGGGATCTTTGAAGGATTAAAAGAGTTGTGTCACAAAAGTTATCAACTTCAACCATTCAAAACGGGCCAGAAATTGAGCGAAATAAGAACAGTAAAGAAACATTTAACCAAAAACGTAAATACAAACAACGTGACTTACGGAGAAAACTGAAATGGATTAAAACATATTGTTATTCAGGCATTTGAAAACTGTCCAGCCTAACAGTTTTCCAAAATTTATCTCCGATGATTGTAACTTTTAAAATTAAAACACTCGAGAATCGCATTTGTTTTTTATAAAGCTGTGATTTCTGCATGTCATTTGGAATAAATTTCAATCTTCTAAAAAGTCAAGTTATAGCAAATAGCAAGCACAAGGAAACAGGATGGACTAAAATAAACTGCCGTCACAAAATTCCTTTAATGTTACTCGCTGTATTTCAGTTTCGATGAAAGTAAGCAATTTTAGACTCTCTTAGATCATCATATTGTTAAGAATATCGAAAGCTAACCAACAGGGTTAAAAGTTCAAAGATTAGTAAGTTTCGTCGAAGCAGAAAAATTCCAAAACTGACCCAATCGGACTTGGCAGGGTCGTTATTCAACACAAGACTCAGTCTCCGAGACCGTGTGCTTTTATCACTTGTGAATATGAACTGATCACAAATGTTTCTAAAGAAATCTTAAGAACAGTAAATCATTTTCCTGCTGCAGCTCCTGATACAAAAATCTTCTGTTGAAAGCAACTTGAGGTCAAATTACAAGATTCAAACTTTCTAAGGACGGTCGAAAGTTCTGACCAGAACAAGGATTACCAAACTACACGATTGAACACTGTAGAGCAAGCCAGAATAAAACATTTCGTTCATCAAGGACCCTGAGTATTTTTTTCGTGCATGACAGGTATCGAAAACGAAAGAAGCAGTTTCAGTTGTCAGATATAAATTTATCCGTAGCATGCAGCCGAAAATAATAGGCAGTATTCAATGTCATAAGACAGTCAAGAACGCGAGTAAGCAACCTAGTAGGGAAATGTCCGAAAAAAAAATTCCTACAGTCGGTTGTATATGATGTGTATGCATATGTTCCACAAGGGCAGCATGACTTGGATTAACAAAATCGTTTACAAAACGCGTGATGTCTACAAACTTGCTTCCTCTTTCAGTTAACTACTTAGAGAACCTAACAAGTCTTAACAGTTGGCTACAAAATGTGGGAAAAATAGGCTAACAAGTGTGATCGGGTCTGGTAATACAGTCAGAATGAATTACTTGAGCAATAACACAGTACAACTCACCTGTGCAACGTTCGTTGTCTTGAAGGTCAATGTTACCTCGCGGTCAACACAAACTTTTATTTGAAGACCGCGGCCAATACCATACATAATGACGTAATACACACTTAATGCCAGGTCCCGAGATATTTAGTTTGTTTCGTTTTTCCGCGAGTCTTGATGTTTCCTGAGACCAACGCGATGGAAAGCAAACCTGCTTTCCGGGGGACTTGGTTTCAAATACGTTTATGCAAAGCTTATAGCAGCATTTTAAAAACCAAACAATCGACATCTTTTGACACAAAATATCTATCCTGAACGAGCAACCCTTATACTTGATTATGACCCTTGCAGGATAAGGTCACGTGGTCACTGATCAGCCAATGATGGTCGCAGTTGTATCTAAGAAACTGCTTGCAGTCAAATAACACAATCTGCATCTTATTCATGCGGTAACTTTTAGGACGCTTCCTTCATTGGCTTTGGCCTCTGGGCCGGAACCCTGAAGACGCAAAGAAATTTCTGCTGTGTGGTTTATGTTAGAACTGCTGATATAAAATTGTCGCCACCTTCGTACAAAAACTTGCGGTTTATTCGATGCTTTCTTGACCAAAACGATAGTAGCAGCCAGCCTGACCCAAAAATAGAAAGCGACAATGAACGATGTTGTGGTCAAGTCTTCAAAAGTAACCTGAGATCAGGCTCAATTTTCGTTTCGCTTTGTAATAACATTACGGCGGGCAAGGCGAAACGAAAACAGAGCCTGATACAAACCTTCTACGAAACGTCTTCCGCCCACTTTTCGGATTGACTGACATTTGCCAAATCAGCCAACCAAAATTACTTCCGTTGCTTGTTTTTCTAGTATGCAATTTTTCATGCGTGGGAAAAATGTAGACTGGCTGACTTGAAAAATAGCTTTTATCTTTTCATTTTTTCAGCTAAAAATAAAACAGTCAGCACAATCACATTTAACTTCTTGCGAAATGATTAAAGGAGATCTCGAAGGTTATTTCTGTCGGCGTAGAAGGTAAAACGTTTTCGAAAAGATTTCTATTTTTCTGTTGCCTTAATATTTTCCTCGACAATTTTCCCCGATTTTCAGTACATAAATCTGTAAAAATCTTGAAGAAATATATCGCGAACTTTTTCAAAGGATATATAAATTATTTCAGAACAAACCAAACGAGTTCTCTGATTTGGTCCAGTGCGTACACTTGCAATAATATTTGCGAATTTACTAGAGAAACAAACGTCTAAAAACATATTTATTTTTAAAAAATCCAGGTAAATATTATCTGCCACTACCTGCACGCTCAACTGACCTATAAACAAAACGAAAAACAATATTACAAACACACTTTGTAGTTCTCCTTAGTCGTGTTGTTGTTTTACTGTGGGGTCTAAAACTGCCTCGCTAAATTTATTAATCGAAATTAACAAACAGCAAACAGCCAACGACCGAGGACACTAGTTTTCCTGTTTTATTTTTTAACAAAAAGCGAAGGCAAACAACAAGTCTGTTACCTTAAGACTAGCGACACCAGTTTTTATAATAATGCCTACAAAAATTCCTTGAAGAGCGATGCGATATTTTTCGTCTAATACTTCACAGTTGGCAATTGAGGTTTCTTTCGCAGTGAGCCTCCGCCTGCGTACCCCGTTCAGAGAAGTCATTCCCGGCTAAACTTTCAAATGAAACCAGTTTTAAGACAGACAATATTTTGATTTGCACTCGTTTGTTGGTAAATCAAAAGGCACCTTGTTAGCGGTCAACAACTTGCAGAGGGATTCAACTTCGCGATACACTCACATAAGTTCCGTAAATAAAGCAAATCCTGAGAAGAAATGAACAACCATATGAATTTTCTGAATTTCCATGGTACATATTAAGGCATAATTTCCTACCATAAGACCATAAAACAATAAAAAAGACAGCAAAATCGATCCTTCGACGAGCACAAACGAGCACAAACGTGAGAGAGTTTGTATCAAGCCCAATTTTAGCGGTAGCCGTTAGAGAAAATGTATGAGAACCGCTAAAATTGGGCCTGATCTCAGGTTACTTCAAAAGTAAAGGCAAATGCAAGGAGAGAAGCGGCAAAACAAATTGATGTCACTCGATGAGGACAAACTAAGATGTTCCTCTCACTAAGGTGGTTGTCTTTGTCTACGTATTACATAATTCTATTTTCTCCATTTTATTAGGTCTCGTCTTGGAGCTTTCTAGCCACAAATACGAGAATGCCACCAAGTACCTGTCTTCTAAAGGATTCTATGTTCTGGTTGAAAAGCTGACGACTGAATTGCCTTCGAATGACCCTAATGAAACGGGGCTCTCGCAGGAGGTCAAATATGTGCCACTCTTAAACAAGCCAAGTGACAAATTTAACGGGTACAAAGCGCGAGTGTCCGAAAGGAGACTGAGTCCGGAGCGGTCCTCGGGCAGAAGTACGAGCAGAGTAGGAAAAAGGACTGGAAAAACCAAATTAAATAAGAGGGCAGATAATACTTTGGCTGTTTAACAGACGCAGGAGGAGGAGAGCGCTCAATGTCGAATAGAAATGCGAGCAGAACAGAAAAACGACTGCAAGTTATGATAAAGACTTTCAATTATTCTTTGTAATGGTTGCGTAAAAGTTAAAGAGAGTACAGTCAGGAAGTCAGTACAATATAACTAGACGGTTTCAAAGCCACGCCTTCTTCCTTAAAGACGCATGAAAAGATTTCATATCACTACAAGCCACCATCCAGAAAAAGGATCACACAAAATGAACGGTTTTTTATTATTTCTTGCCAATTTGCTTGTTTGTTTGTATGTTTTCGAGAGATAGCAGGGTAACTCAACGAATTCGGAAAGGATGGAGCTGCAACCTTTTGAGAATTCTGGCCTAAAGAAAGCTGTACGCTCAGACCCCATTTCAACCCCTTACTCTCCTCACACAAGGACTTGTTGTCCAGTGAAAGACAAACCTGTAGATCTCACTATAATTAAATTGGCACAGTCATAAACGCGTCATGTACGCCAATCCAAAAGCCGTGACTTAAGAACATAGTGGGAATAAAGTAAAAAAGAAGAGACTTGGGAAAGGGTAAGGCGCGATTTCCGTCTTGCAATGTTAGAGCTATTGTGACGAGTCTCAAGGCCAACTTTAGGACTCATCACAGCAGTAACTGAGTGTTTTCGGGGTGTTCTCGTTACAGACTTGTAAATTGAAAAAAGGCCTGTTTCAGCCTTCGATTTAGTCTCTCCTGGAGCCATTTGAGCGCAATTCGGACCAAAACAGCCACATTAATAAATATCTATTCCAGACCACTCTGGGGTCCCAGTTAATCCCAAATCAGCCCTAGAAAACTGAAATTCCTTGTTGGCACTTAATTTCGCGTTTTTGGCTATTGTAAAAAAATCGTGGAATTAAAGTTCCACGAAATTAAAAAAGCCATCGAAATTTAATACCCATATTGATATAGAAAATTGAAATAACAATAGGCCCTTTGCTAGCCATTCACGTGGTACAAAACCGCCGTGATGGAGAGCAAAAGTCGCACTGGGACAAGACAAACAAAAGACATACATAATCTGAAACGGTAATTTTCCTTGTTTGTCTTGTCCCGATGCGACTTTTGCTCTCCAGCACGGCTGTTTTGTACCACGTGAATGGCCAGCTGCAAAGGTCCTATTGACATGTAATAGTAACGATATGTATCGACAAACACAAATTGCTTTCTGGTTCTACTGGTCATTCTTCTGGTTGTTCGAGTCACATAGCTAATAACATCACGGCTTTTATTAAGCCAGTCGAATGAGAACCTAATTGCGCATGGATTTTACAGATGGAGACAGCCCCATGCAATCTCGTACCCAGATCTCTTGTCGACGAAGCCGAAGGTGAGGGAGTGAAGGTGAGTATTGTCATCTGTGCGCGCTATGGCGTGTGCAATTCATTCTTTGCAAAGTATTCAAACAGCTTTGTTAAAAAAATATATTTTCAGTGAATAAGTAGTTTTTCGTCTCAAAATAGCTTGTAAAAGCCTTTTCTATGTTAAAAGACTTTTTAAAACTTTCTCCCAGTATTAAGATAAAGACTTTTGAAAATGATACGGTAAAAACATTTGTCGCGTAGAGCTTGACGCGTACTGCTTAGAGCTGTGAGTGCGCGCTATGAAATTAGATTTAAACTAACTGCCGCGTTGAATTTTTGGTTACCAAAAACACAACATATAAGCACACTTTGTTAGTGAAAACTTCACGGCTCTATCAAATTCAGTGTCGTTTAACACGGCCACCATTTTGGAAATTTATTTCAAGTATGCGTACTTTCATCACCTGTCAAATTCCTGACAGACGATCACGTGTACAAATCGGATTGGACCAGATCTCGCCTTCGGCTTCGTCGACAAGAGGTATGGCTTTGAGATTAAGCCCCAAGCAATTTCGGAGTTAAAACAAATCTTTTGAATTTACAGCAATGTAAGACAAACAGCTAACAGATTAACCTGGCCACATAGTCAAGACGTTTCCAGAAGAGAGTCCAAAGTAATGATATCTGAAGGGAAGTCGTCTTTGAGAATAATCCCACGTTCTTGATTACAATCCAGTTCATCGATGAAACCGAACCAGTATATAACCATTCCTGGCCCAAACCTTTCAAATCAGATAAGTCGATATTCTGTTAAAAGGTTAATTACTACTCAAAATTTTAATATGAAGCCTTTGAATTTGTTAAAAGTTCGTCAGGAAATCAAGAAATGTCGACCACGGCAGTGTACGTTGTAATCTTAACAGATCTGTACCACCTCCAAAGGCTATTTGAGGTACTCAGGAACTCATTTCAGTCCGTGGGTCCATTATAGCCATCTAAGTTAGACCGTTTGGCACCCTATCTGGAACAGCCAATTAATACCCGAAAAGACTCCAGAAAGTAAGTTAGACCAGGTCATCATTTTAGTTGGACAAACCAGAGACGCTGTCGGATATAAAATTATGTTCACTTTTAACTTCTTTAGATAGTACGCAAATCTTTGGCCACAAATCATAGTCCTTGCCATTTGATGTGTCCTGACATAACGTCTGGCCGAAGTGAGTTTCCTTGGACATGATGAACGCATTTTAGGCAAAAATTGTACAATTACAAATCTGGAAATGGGTGTCACGTGTACCTCATCGATATGGTCACAATTTTGAACCTAAAAACGTTGTCTGGAATTGACCACGTAATCTAAATATACTCTGTGGTTTACACATAGCATAATATGTCCTTACTATAGCTGCGATATTTCTAATTTTGTGCCAGGTAAAACACTTACAAATTTAGAGCTAAAATGATAGCATGATAGCACCTGCCGTTAAGTTCAAGACACTTAGGGCGCTATCCATTTATCAGAACTGGCCGGCCAGACCCTTCCCGACGTAATGAGAATTTCACTGTTAATCAAAACTATTCGGCCAGATTAGTCAAATCCTAAATAGTGTGCAGGAAGGGGGTGGTTTTTCGGCAAAAACCTTTGGAAAAAGCCAATTTCATCGTCAAAATGACTGGTCCGGCCGCCCAGTTCTGACAAACAGAAAGCGCCATCAGATACGGTAGAAATGCAAGAAAACTATCGGGGACCATGAACAAGCAAATAAAAACCTTGCAACGTATAGACTGCATGATTTTCAGTTGAACGACTTCGGATCGTCTACAATCGGGCCACGAGAATCTCTCTTGTGTAAATGGGAATTAATTTATCACAGATTAACACTTTTAAAGCGGCTTTACCTGTTCCAGTAGCTCCAGAACTGGTCTTTCAAGTACGTCTGGTGATTATAATCGTCCCCAAAGGATGCTTTGCTTTCAATCCAATTTACAACAAAACCATCGACAGCTGTGGGAAAGAAAGAGACTACTGTAAGCTAGGGTGTACTTCAATGGTCAATTTTTAGGACTAATAGTTCAACTGAAATCGGGCTCATTGATATTTCACATCCTCAGAATTTGTGTATCATTCACAAGGAAATTGAGGAAGAGCGTAGCCTATTTCAACCCACCTATTGGGTTACGTACGGCCTATAGGCAGGGGTTTGGAGATGAGCACCCCAACCTACGGAAATAGTCCAGTTTCGAGTTCGCTATGACCGCTGAATTAAAGAACTGAAGACGCATTTTTTACAGCCTTAGCCTCCATCTGAAGTAATATATTCACAAATTCCAACGAGAAAAAGACCTGTTTATTACTCTGTCTATTGTGTATTTTCAAATTTCAAACACTTACTTGCCGGAATTTCTGAATATTTTTTACTTTACGTCGAGGCTAACCCTGTATATGAATGTGTCGTTAATGTTTGTATTCAGTGGTAATTTTTAATTCGAAACAAAAATGCACTTGCACTTGCAGTTTTTATTTGAGTGTCAATGTATTTAGCTCGAAAGTGCTAATTGGGGACACTATTTTTACGTCTCCTAACACAGGCGGCCCAGACGTAGTATGTGTCACTGAATGAATATATTAATATTCACATGGACAAATTAATGCGATGAGTCGTCGAAACTCCAATGAACTAAAATAGTCCAAAAATTAAAATATAACAAAATAAAGCTAAGATACCTTTAACTGAACGTATCCTTGTCTTTCCTGGCCGGTTTAAGTGGCATTTTGTTGAGTTTTGCAATTGTAGGTACTATCTACTATAGAAGAATTAAAGGCTGGCTACAAAACAAACAGACCATCTCCACGCGCCTTCACACGAAGCGCTATAAATTCGAGAATAATCGACGAATCCGCTCCAAATAACCATCGGCTAATCTGCAGGTAACGTGTGCTCCTGCCTCTGGCTCGCTTGCTCCACAAAACCCATCGCAACTGCACAATAATTGCTCGCTCATCAACAACCACTGTTGACCTTTACGCTTCGATATGACCGCAAACGACCAGGTATAATACGCGACGTGAATATTCAAGCTTAGCGACCGAGTCCGCGCGACAATGCAACACTTGCAATGGGAGGGATGGTACAATTGTTCTAGGTCAATCAACACTGAGCGAGGGTCCGCTGCGTTAGTTTTGACCAGAAAAGAAAAGGCGATCGCGGGACCGTCCGTAAGTTTTCAACAGGGCAGCCCTGGTTTTCAAGTTCGAATTCTTCTAACGTTCGCTGTCTCAGATGCTGTCACATTGTTCGTCCAGCGGCTTGCATAGGTTCTTGACTCTACCAGACTTATTTGCTTAGATTAACAACGTCTTACTCCATGATATGTTGTCCAAACTGGTGAAGGAGGACGAGAATTTTCCGCCCAGGAAAAAGGAAAAATCTGGCCCCCGCTATGCAGCTGAATAGAAGATACAGCTGAAGATATCGTAAAGTAAAATTTATGGGCGCGATATCTTTTATTATTATTATTGTCTCTATTACCACAGTCTTTGCAGGTGTTCTTTTTGTGCATCAGCCGGGCGCAAACCATGCACCTAGAGCGTCAGTCACTCAAGTCAATCATTCTGTTCATACACTGAGCACCTTTTTATTATTATTATTATTATTATTATTATTGTTATTATTATTATTATTATTATTAATTCAAAAAAAAATGTTTCTTAGTTTTAATTAACTTTTTTTTAAAGCTAAATTAAGTGCTTTTTAAATCGACAGAAATTGTAAATAGTGTTTTTGAATGAATAGTTTTTTCTTTTTTTTTAAGCGAATTAATTGTAAATAGGATTTTAATAGTTTTTTTTAATAAAATTGTCTATTTTTATTATTATTATTATTATTATTATTATTATTATTATTATTATTATTATTATTATTATTATTATTATTATTATTATCAAAACTCAGGGGCACCCAACGTGATTTCCCCCTAAATGCATTGAAAACACATTTACGGCTGTCCAGAGTACTTTTGACCGAAAAATGCATTCTAAACAGCGCTTACATAAATTTAGTCAGGAGGGCTAAAAGCGAAGCTAATGATTTATAGTTTGCTCATACTAAATATAAAATATATCGTGTAATGCTAAGCGGAGAAGGCAACGAGACAGGGCCACCCAACGACTGTTTCCTCAAATGCTTTCAATTGAAAACACTTTTGTAGCTATTCATAAAGTACTTTTAGCTCTATAGAAATGCATTCTAAGTGGCGCTATAAAACTTGCATCTCAGTGTTCGGCCATTCTAGAGGAACTTGAGTCTTTTCCAAATTACGAGGAATTCAGAATTATTTTCCCCAAAAATTTTAGATGCAATTTAACGTATTACGAAGGAGATAATTTTTCAGATACCTTCTTTCATCACATTTTTGAATCCGAAAATTTTAGGATTCCGTTTTACTCTCTACGAAAAATAGCCTAACCCGGTGAGTGAAATGTGAAAAATTAAAAGTTGGATGCCCTTGACCAGAACTGTGAAAAACAACAATAGGTCTAATTGCAGCACACTTTCTTGTACATTTCCTTGCCGTTGATTTGCATGACTGCAACGTGAAACGTCCAGAAAACGTCCTGGTTTTCACTTTTTATGGAGAAAATGTGGTACATGTTCTTGTTCACTTTTTCCACTGCTGCTCATTTTTTTTAGCTCCGCTATAAGATTCGTATCTGTTCGGTGCTCCTAGGGCAAATTGGATCTTTTTAAAAATTATAAGGGCTTCAATATTATTTTCCCGATTGATTGACCTAGAAGCAATAGTACCATCCCTCCCATAGCAAGTGCTGCATTGTTGCGCGAACGCGGTCGCTAAGCTTGAATATTCACGTCGCGTATTATACCTGGTCGTTTGCGGTCATATCGAAGCGTAAAGGTCAACAGTGGTTGTTGATGAGCGAGCAATTATTGTGCAGTTGCGATGGGTTTTGTGGAGCAAGTGAGCCAGAGGCAGGAGCACACGTTACCTGCAGATTAGCCGATGGTTATTTGGAGCGGATTCGTCGATTATTCTCGAATTTATAGCGCTTCGTGTGAAGGCGCGTGGAGATGGTCTGTTTGTTTTGTAGCCAGCCTTTAATTCTTCTATAGTGGATAGTACCTACAATTGCAAAACTCAACAAAATGCCACTTAAACCGGCCAGGAAAGGCAAGGATACGTTCAGTTAAAGGTATCTTAGCTTTATTTTGTTATATTTTAATTTTTGGACTATTTTAGTTCATTGGAGTTTCGACGACTCAACGCATTAATTTGTCCATGTGAATATTAATATATTCATTCAGTGACACATACTACGTCTGGGCCGCCTGTGCTCCTAATGGAGACGGGATCGCCATTTTACGTGGTCATCCGAGCCATAAAAGACCAAGGTGTCGCCGCTTGCAGTGCAAAGGAAGTACCTTCATTTCTCAGTCATTTCAAGACCCTGAGTAATGGTCCGGCCCCGGGAATCGAACCCGCGACCTCCCGCTCTGCAGTCAAACGCTCTGCCGACTGAGCTAATCCTGTCACGGTCAAACTAGTGCTTGTTATACGGCGGGCATCCCAAATGGCAGTATTCAACTAAGCACTTGGACGAGAAACGTGCACGTCGTGAGCGACTATTAGGAGGTGAAAACCATTGATCCCAAACCTGAGATTACTAAACCCCATAGAGTGATCATCGAAGGGAACAAAAACCCAGTCTCGAAAAAAAAAAAACATAAAATCAGACACTGATTCCTAGCCTATTAGAGGGTTGGGCCGTGACCTTGGAACCCCATCCTCGTGAAACAGGAAACAGTAATGTTCCGAAAGCATTTTCAAGAAAGAATATCACGGAATTGTGTACCTGCTGACGCGTCACAAAGAACAATGATCAGATGAGAATGACGATGAAGAGATCTTTTTCAGGTAACACAAAACGTCACATTTTTTATGATAAGCAAATGGAATCAACTTCAAAAGAAAGTTTGGAATTGCGTTTATAGTAGACTACGAGTAGTCCCCATTTTTCCTCAGGGATAGTAGAGCGAGCGAAACCCTTTTCTCGCGTGGGGTGATTTTCACGCGCGCTCGCGTTTCGCTCGCTATACTAGGGACTTTCAAGATCCAACGACGCGACGGCAGTGAGAACGTCGCTTAAAAAGTGAATTTGCGTTCTTTCAGTCTATATCGCAATTATTCCTACCGACTTACGTTCTTTCAGTCCCTATATCCCTGGTTGTTCAAAAGATGGATTATTCGTCGGATACCCACCGGATAAATTATAGCGCAATTGTTTCCAAATGTATCCGCTGGATAGTGATTTATCTGGTGGAACCCGTTTGAACAACTGGGGCCTGAATTCCACTGGATAACGCAGGCACCATATCCAAGTATCAATAAACAAAAATAAAATTTCGACGTTCCAAGTACAGTAAGAAAAATAAAATTTCGACGTTGCTTGTTTACGTCCTCCGTAAAACGCGAAATTAGGTATTTCCACGTCGTAGTCGAGCAAAAACGGGCAGAGAAATGTACAAAAACTCCATGGTGCACGTGCAAAGTTGTTGTTTTGCTAATTAAACCTATTGTCTTTTTGTCGTTCTCTTTACCGTCCGCGTCGTTGGATCTTAAAGTCCTTACTATCCCTGAGGAAAAATGGGGACTACTCGTAGTCTACGTTTATAGCTTTTATGAATGGCATTAATAGAAATGAACAGCAATTGAACAAGTCAGTGGCCAACCTGTTCATGTTAGGCGTATTTTGCAGAACGCCGAACGACCGCTCTGAGTTTAGTGATTGGGGTTAGGAAACTGAGTGAATCAGGTTCCATTTAGGGTCGTTATACTGGGAAAACTGACTTGAAACTTGATTCACTCAGTTTCCTAACCCTAATCTCCAAATTTCAGAGTCATTCGGTGTTCTGCAAAATACCCCTTCCGACCTTTTCAAGTTCTTTTAATCACTGTCTTAGATGTAACTGGTAAGGACTTAATTAGTGCCTTGTCAGCTTTAGTCTCATTGCGGGTGATCGACAAGCAATTTACGTAGGAAGGATATTCAACTATAACGTAAGCATAAAGGGCCGAGTTCATCAAAGCTGGTTCGAAATCTGAATTCTGAATTGAAAGCTTAAAAAGCAAATTTAGTTTAATTCTTTTTGTCTACAACATGGTGATTGGATGATCTTAAAAGAATAAAAGGAAATATGCCAGAAAATGCTTTCGAATAAAAATTTAACCTCGGATTAGCGCTAATAGACCTATTCGGCTAACTCAATGTTGTACCCAATTCAAACCCTTTGGGAATAAAACTTTTTGTTTCAGGAATTTCCATACATTTAAATGAGAATGCCACATTATGATGCAAATGCAATACACAATGAATCTTAACCCCAGGAGATTTGAATTGGGTACAACATTGAGTTAGCCGAATAGGTCTATCTGCATCATTCTCTGCAAGAGAGTTACCCTTCGTAGCGGCGAGTTTGTTGAGTGCGAGTTGGCCCCTGGGCGAATTAACCGTTAAGTGCATTACGTACCTATAGGAATTTCAAGTTTGCAGTCTGGTGTTTTGTCATATCCTCGACTTCTCATGTCATCCTCACCTTCAAAAAACATAATCTTTAAAATCACATTGTAATAAAGTGGAATTAAACTTGCCAGGAACGAAAAAAAATAATCACCTACTTTCCATTCTTACCGAGAAATGGTATGCCCCGGTTTTGTAGTTTTTCGCGTAGAATCAGTTCATACTCGTACCCAACGGAGCTGAAACACCACTTGTCAAGGAAACGTGCCACCATGAATATCATTGTTGTTTCTTAAGCCCTTAGGGACGGACCATTAGAAAGTACAAAAAAATATTCGTGCAAGGGAAACTTAAATGGACAAAAATTCATGCACGCCAATTAATCCTAAAAAATACTCACGCTATGGCCTAAAAAAAAATTCGTACAAGGAGTTTGATAACGAAAAAAAATTCCTGCGGCTCGAAAATTCCCCTTCCCCCCATGACTTTTCTAATGGTCTGTCCCTTAGTCCGAGCACATTCGAATCCTTCAGTGGTGGGGGAAGGTGTAAAACGTAACTGACGAAAGCAGGAAAAGACTGCTTAAAGGAGCTGTGTAGCGAATTTCATCAAACGTCGAACCGTAGAAACTGCTACCAAGTTGAATGAAACATAAAAATGATCGCACAAATTAACAGAATGTTGATAACACAACAAATACAAAAGTAGGCCTAGATGGACAAACTTGAAGAAGATTAAAACGGATTGAAAATGTGGGTTTTGAAACTTCAAAATGTTCATTTTTGTTGTTTGTAACATTTGATGTAATGCTTTGGAGGTATATTTGTTGGACAAGAAGCTCTCGGAGTCGTCGTTTAAAAGTAATTTCGGGCGCGGATCCACACCGGTTTCCACCGTTTTACGGAAATCGGTCACATTTTTCATAAAAAATATATTTTTAATAATAAAAAAGACTTTCCAAGTTGAAAATTGGCCAATATCCTGTCTGAATGACTCGGAAACCCAGGAAAGGGGACTTAAGGAGAAAAACCCCAAAAATTTCCTGGGTGAGCCCGCCCCCGGACGCCGCTAGGAGGCGCTCGTTTAGGAAATCAGTCAGTATTTATCCTAGATCCGCGCCTGAATTTGTTCGTTAACGTTAAATGCCAGGCATAGCGCGTAAGGAAGAGTAATTGGCAATCTTAATAAAATGAACTAGACAGCAGTCGTGACGGTTACCGGTCATTTCGCACCTGTTTATTAAGCCCCTTTTCTAGAACGAGGAATATTATATTTGAAGCGAAGTTGTTTTGCTTTCTGGCTTATAGAACGAGGAGTATTACATTTGAAGGGCGCTAAATGACTCGAAATAGGGGGTTAAGTAACCGGGGCGAAATGACCGGTTACCGCCGTGACACTGCAGCCCCTTTAAAAAGCCTTGATTTTTTTCTCCTCGACTCGAACAAGATCCGTAATAAATAAAATAAATCTCCACCGTTTAGAAATCTCAATCGCATTTCTGGCCTCTTCTGTAGTTCAATTCTTTTAAACTAAAAAAGGATACCGTTTTATGTTGTCCACTAATGGTCCATAATTTGGATCATTGAGTATACACTGAGAAAAGAAAACGACACCTTCAGAATAACGCTAAGTACAACATAATCAAATCTCAACACTGACTCCAACCTTGCCAGCCCAAAGTAAATGCTAAAGAAAACCACGAACTCGTCTACCCCTTAGGGTCTATCATTCCTAACATGGGTCAAAGTAAGCTGGGCTCTCATTTTCCTTTTAGATTTGTTTAATATCCCGCGAATTTGGCTATGTTCGTAAACCTCCAAACAGTTCAAGAGTACGAAATGATGAATATGTTTAAGTTAATTTTTTTATCTCTGGTAATTTTTATTTTTCTTTTGTTTCAACTTCATCAGCATACATTTTCATACCGCAAAAACAAAAGAAAAACAAAAATTACCTGAGATAAAAAATTAACTACAACAAATATATGAATTTCACTTATTGGAACTGCGGAATGAAGAAGTAAATGCAAGCAAAACATCGCAATTAAAAGGATGCAACTTTGCCAAAAGAAAGCCCCAAAAAATTAAACTCTCACTTATTGCCCTTGTCCATATTTCCTCTCACTCAACATATTGCTCTTCTCATCTACATTTGAAGGAAATCCTTAAATGCCCTGAATGCCTCAGAAATTTTTAGGCACAAGAGATGTATCTATTTAATATCCAGTAAATTGAACACGATGAGAGGCAACACACTGAGCCCTCCAGTGTGATGATGTGACCCTTGGCTGATAAAAACTAACATCACCACCCTTTGCTTGGCCTATTCCAGTAACACTGCTGGTATGACCCTTAAAGCTGGTTGAGCGGGAGGTGAGCTATCTTGCTGTCATGTACATGTACCAGCCTTCTCGTTGAGCACTCCAAAAAAACACCTGTTGCAGAATAACTATTATAAATAGGTAATTCTATTCTTTTCATCATGTTTTTGCTATAAGCAGTACTATATTGCTTATAGCAAAAACATGATAGTATAGGGCCCATTTGACCATCTTTTCACATGGTTACAAATAAGATACTATTTGACGTGGGAAACTGCCATAAAATTTGAATCTTTGCCTATTTGTCTAATTAGTAGCAGAATCTTAAAACTATAATACTACCTGGTGCACTTCATTGGCAAGAGTTTTATCCTCTATGAGGGTGAGGGGCTCTTTCATCATCTGACTGACAACAGCTCTTGGAGCTGTAATAAGAGATCAAAAATCCAGAAACATTATCTTGAAGAGAAGTTGAGGCATGTTGGATGAAGGTATTAACAAGCCTCAGGGTACATGTATCAAGGTGGCCGGAGTTTAATCATCAAACAACTGGGAGAATTTCTCCTTCTGAAAAAATAATTTTTTATCGGCAGGTAACAGTACTGTCTATAGACCTGGCCCCGGTGGATAAGACAAGTATTACTTAGGAGGGATTACTGTCCACTGGATAGACATTTATCCACTATAAAGTTAACATTATCCATTTCATCTACTTGTACAATAATAAAATATGAAAAAAGTCTCTAAAAAGAAATGAGCATAAGTCGAGAGAATCTTGTATGCAAAAGCTGCAAATTGGAATCTACCAATACTAGTTGCCTAATAGATGTTCATACTACCAAACAAATAAACATCATTTTTCAATAAATAAATTGAGACCTGTGCACCTATAGAACACATGATCCATCCTAACACCCTCATTGTTTCCCACAACTGCATCTGCAAAATAGGCCATTTCAGAGTTACCAGAAGCCTCTGTTTCGAAGCTAGGCTAAGTGCGAAAAGTCACTGATGTGAAAATGATTTGTTATTCTCATTCAGATGTAACTCAATTATCATAACAAAGGTTTTGCACTTAGCCTCGTTTTGAAAGTAAGGGTTATTGTCCAGAACTCAGAAATGGCCTATTAAATCTAGACATTATAGACTCACGGTTCTCTCCATCAAAACAAGTGTGGGAAAGATGTCTCTCTAACACAATTCTTGCCAGCAGTGAGTGTGACAAATCCACTTCTTCAGCAATCCTCAACAAAACTGGCTCTGTGGACTCTTGAGCAACTCCTGCCAAATATCTACAGGTAAACACAATTGAAAAAAAGGTTAATTTAACAGATAAATGATAAGCAATGAAAAACAACCATCTGACATATAAGCTGAATTACCTTTGATAGTAATTTTCCATTACTTCTAACTTGTGGTGCTTGTGATGGTTCTTACGCATTTTTTTCTGCCAAAGTAACATAGTCATAGAGTTTATATTAAGATGGCATGACTGAACTATTTAGGGACAGATATGTCCCAATAATACATGTGTAGGGTGCTTGTCTCCAGTCGAGGCTTAAAGATAGAAGTATATGTATTTCACAGAGTAATTACCACAGACAATAGGCCTATAACAGGGTACAATGGAAGCTCTTGTAAGCGGACACCCTTAGAATGTGAAAAAGGTGTCCATCTCTGGTAAGTGGTATAAAAGTTCAATTTGAACCACTTTAATATAGCAAGTGACCATTCATCTATATTATATAATTACCTGATAATCCTGTGAGTAAATACTGACAAGAGTATTGTATGTAACTCTGGGGAAGAAAATAAAGTGAAACTGAACTACACTTAATATGCAACAGAAAAACCTTGATTCAGTCAACATAAGAGTTCTACCCAGTCCTCAAATGTTCCGGCACAAAATTTTAAATCTCAGTTAAAAGGAGTAACAAACTGTATTAGGGTTTTCACTAAGACTTTTAGTAGCAGGAGAAAGGTGTAACTTTACAGGAGAAGATTGTGAAAGAGGCTCAATGCCTGAATTGAAAAAAAATGTGATTTGCAGCATTCTGGGCAGTAAACTGAGTCCAAAAGGGTGTATTTTTCATTAAAGATTAGAAAATTTCACTTTCATTCAAGCCACACAATCAACTTCTACGAGTACTGAACAGATGACAATAATTAAATTACATACATTTACACATACACAAATTGCCTAAGGCCCAATGGATGAGAGTCCTCACAAGACCACAAGAAGGGGATAGGAAAATGTTTTCAAAGGGTCCTTATGAAAAGGCAAGGTGGTAGGAATCTGCCTCATCCATAGGGCAATCAGAATGAAAATAGAGAGAATAAAGTGTTAATGATTTGATGAGTTAATGAGCGGAGTAAAAAAAATCAAATCTCCAGCATTTATTGCCAGTAACTGCTTTGATAAATATACAGTACTTTTAGTGACAAACTTAGGACCCCTTCACATGAGCCCAGTTGACTGGGCCGGCCCGGGTTCACCTTACCTCTAAATCATAAACCTTAAAAAATTTTCAATGTGTTCATATGAGAGGATCGGCTGGCTTGGTTCCTGAGATTTCGGTTTTTCCAAACAGGATCTCAGTAAGTGAGCTGGAAATTTTGTCATATTAAGACTTCAACCCAGATAGCAAGGTGAATTCTGGCAGCGCGGATGGCATCATCTTGCATTGAATGCTGTATTTTCCCCATCATAAGCATCCCATTTAACTGCATTGACGCAGCTTTAAGAGTTGCCAAAGCTATGATTGGTGCAAAAGTTATATTTTTCCCACATTTGCTTTGCTTTTCGAATTTTGCATCAGAATTCGTCCCCAGGATCTGTGACCTTTCCTCAACTCGGAAACCGGGCTGAAATTTATGAACCCAAGGCGAAACTGGTCCAGGTAACAGGGCTCATATGGAAAGGCCCTTAAACCTCAATAAATACTAACCACTTTGAGTCAGTGGTTAACTCTCATCATTGTAGCGAGAGCTTAATCCAAAACGCTATTATCAGTATTTAACCCTAATTTCTACCGTCAAAACTATTTGCAGCTATTTTCAGTGCTTAACCCACAGGTGGCCCAAGCGTAATATGAGAGTTTGTATGGGAAAAATAGAGTTTCAAACTTTGATGAAATAAATGAAGTAAAAGCGATAAAAGTTATCAATAATTACACTGTCAGGTCAGATGATGTAAAAGTACTCAAATCGCGCTGAAACGTCGAAAAAACAAAGACAACGACTCCAAGTAACAATATTTACACTTGATTGATACCTTCATTTATTTTATCTAAGTTTCAAACTCTATTTTTCCCATACAAACTCTCGTATTACGCTTGGGCCACCTGTGCTTAACCCAGACCAGCTGATCGTGAATCATGACTTGACTCATTTGAGTGATTGGACTTGTAAAGCAAGCTTTCTCAATTCATGAAACTGCTCCGGGCTGCTTTTTTATATAAGATTATACAAAAATAAAAGAAAATCATGAGCGCCGGCAACTTTTTTTTTCAGCAATTTTCAGACGCGATATTAAGCTTTACTCGTCCATCACCTTTGAGCTTTTTACAAGTCTTTGGAGGAGAACTCGCGTTACAGAGGGCACTTACCCAGGAAACTGCAAGGCTATCGTCTTTAAACAATCTCTTGAGCCATAGGTATGCATCAGGGTCAATATCTGGTTATAAATTTCGAGCTTCATGACTCAAAAACCCCAAGAGATTAGTCTTCTTCGGACTGCTGTTGTTTTCACTTCAATTTCGCGCCGAGGTGCTTGGTAACCACCCAGTTCCCCCACATACTGTGGCCGCCAAAGTCGGGACAGTATATCAAGATTTACATGACATACTAATCCGTTTCTGCAAGATGGCGTCCTTCGTCAACCTTGTGTTAGATTTGAATGAGCCACAACTTATTTACATTACATCCATTGTGATGATAGTTACAGCAGTTATCGTTGCTTTTTGCTTAATTTTTTTAAAAGCCGAATATGGACGATATTTCTCAGCGAGTTCATCGCAAAAGTACGGATTTGGAGTGAACCCCAAAATTGCTTGGTTTGTTCAAGAATTACCAGCCTTTGTTGTACCCTGTGTGTTGCTCTTTTTCGCTCGCAAAGACGTCTTCGGATTAACGCCGAATGCATTTCTTCTCTTATTATACTTCACACATTATACTCACAGGTTAGTAATATGTACGAAAATGTTCCAGCCAGTAATAATTCCCACAATTCCAAATTTTAGTCTTGCTGTCAGTGTTATTACTCAACCAGATTACATAACCGACTGTCAAACAGTCTCTGGAAAGATGCGGAATAACCTCATACTTATTTGCTTCTCGTTAAATAACAAGAAAATTGTGAATTTGTTATTTGTCTTGTTCTTTTAAAGCTCTGAAATTAATTTTCTGAAATCCTGGACTTTAATTACTATTAATAATTTTTACTATTAATATTAATAAAATTAATATTATTTTTTTTAGCTTCAGACTTACCTAAGAGCCCTTTCTCTACCCTATGGCAAAAAAATTTGGGGTAATTTTTTATTTGCACTTGAAAATATTGCACCCTCTAAGTTCATTGACAAAATTTCAGGAGGAGTCACAAAAGGCTTTTTAAAAAATGAACAAGAATCACTTCGTGAATTTTACCGGGGCCACTTTTGTCTTGGCAACCAACGTGGAAGGGTCGTTCTCATCAACAAGTTTGTCAGGCGACATGAAAATCTTTTTTATTGCAAATATTCCTTAGAGATGAAAAGAAGGTGTAATGAATAATGTGAAAAGAGAAAATGTCAGGGAATCCCCCATTCTGAACAGATGAGAGTTTTCGCATGTCGCTAACGTAAATATTGCGTGACAAAGGTTATGTGAAACAGTCTTTTTTGGTTTTTCATTAGTTAAAGCAGTGATAGACTTTCTTGTAATGAGTCTTAATTATTTGTTGGCCAATATTTGACAAAGTTTCCTGTAGCGAGTGCGAATTGTAAGGTATTGAAACGCACAAACAAAGTTTCGCGCATCCAAGTTTAATAAGTTAAGATTTTTGTTTTGTCGTAGTGTACACAGTTCAACAGCGAATAAGCTTTGTCATCGTTAGGATGAATACTGTAACAATATTTTTCATTACACAGGGATCTCATTTATTGATAAGTAGCAAATATAGTCGCATTAACCATTCCGTTCCAAAACTAATGGAATTAATATTTGGCCCTAAGCCTATTTAATGAATAATTAATTTTCTTTGAATTATTTCAATATACTTCTAAATCACAAAGGTAAACAATTATGTCCAGTAAAGGTGAGGGCATAAAAACGCCCAAGCAATGTGTTAATGCAAATAAGGAAAGAGGAAAGGGCAAGGGGAGGAGGAGGGAAAAAGTAATTTGTTCGCATGGCGAGTGTGTTAGAACGAATGACTGCGTTGCAGTTCAAAGGGTTCAATACATTAACATGAGTCAACTCCCAATCCTAGGCTGTCAAGTTACGCAGTTTTTCTCACGTTTTCAGATCGATTACATAATAATAAGATATTATCTAAAGTACCTAAAATAGGAGAAAAACATAAAAATTCTACATCAACGTCTATTAAACGAATAATGTGAAAAGACAAAATGTTAGGGAATCCCGCATTTTGAACAGTTGAGAATTTGCGCATCTCGCTAACGTAAATATTTCGTGACAAAGGTTATTTGAAAATATTTTGTTTTATTTTGTTTTCTTCATAAGTCAAAGCAGTGATAGACTTCCTCCTAATGAGTTTTAATTGTTTGTCGGAAAATATTTGACGAAGTTTCCTGTTAAACAAAGCTTGGCGCATGCAAGTTTAATAAGTTAAGATTTTTTCTTTGTCATAGTGTACACAGTTCTACGTCGACCAAGCTTTGTCATCGCTAGGATGAATACTGTAACAATATTTTGCGATAGACAGGGATCTCATTTACTGATAAGTGGTAAATCCATTCCGTGTGCAAACTAACTGAATTAATATTTACATGGTTACAGTTGTTGCTCCCTACTTCAAATTTCTGAACCAGCGATATATCTCAGCGAACACTCCCAAAAGTAACGAGCCAGCGATATATCTCAGTCAGCGATATATCCCTAACAATGTAACTTTGAAAACACAGAAAGGCGTTGCATTTTATGACCGGTGCCAGCCTTCGGCTAGGCCCCGGTAATAACAACAACTGACATCAGAGCCTGTCTCTCCAACCCTTTTCGCTGTTCTCATTTTCAGATCTTTGATTTATCCCTGGCTCATCAAAGGTGGCAAACCAACCCCTATATTGCTCTCATCCATGGCTTTTGTCTTTTGTATGTTAAATGGCTACCTACAGGCAAGATACTTGAGTAAATTTGCTTTTTACAAGAATTCTTGGCTGTCAAGTCCCATCTTTATCAGTGGGGTGGCATTGTTTGTCACAGGCATGGCAATTAATATTCACTCTGATCACACTTTACGTAATCTGAGGAAACCTGGTGAGACAGGCTACAAAATTCCAAAAGGTAAGTTTCTTTAGTTATGTTAGATTTTTTAGCATTTTGATTGCCTAGCAAATAGCTTGTACCACTTGTGTTATGTGAAGCTGGTGTAAAAAACAGTGATAATGATTTATAGTGATGGGTTTTCTTATTTCTATGAAATGATGTTTCTTTTTATCTTGCCTTTTAGTGAAAGTTTAAAATGAAATAAATCCTTTTTTTTACCTTTTTCTCCTGGATTTCACCAGCGTGAAATAAAGTGTCCCAGTTAATCTACACGGCTGTCTGACTTGCATTCTGTAGAGGGTTGCCACTCGCTGGAAGTGAGCTTCACGGAAATCTATACTTTTTTATGTTCTACAAGCCTGGTTCGTTTTTTATCAATGTTTTATCTTTGACCAATACTCTTTACTCTGGAATGAAAAACAAGCACATTTAGAGGGGTCATGCCTTTTTTTAGTTTTTTTTTTTTTTTGAGTTTTCCTTTGATCGGGTCAAGATGTTTTTTTGTGCTTTCTGATGGATCTTACCAGCCCACTCCCTGGTATAAATAATGAATGGTCCCTTATTACATAAGGTGGAGTATGTGGAAAATAGTCTCTGCCTCAAAAGCCAAATAAATTCCAATATTTTTCGCTACTCTTCTTTTTTAATAGGTGGTATGTTCACTTATGTTTCTGGGGCTAACTTCTTTGGTGAGATTATTGAGTGGTCTGGATTTGCACTGGCATGTTGGTCTCTTCCTAGCCTGGCATTTGCAACATTTACTGCTCTTAACATTGGTCCAAGAGCAATTCAGCACCACAGGTATTTGAAAATAAAATTTTTGATGAAATTTTTCTGCACAAAAATTTAATAACTTGGTATATGCCTGGTATATACCATCATGCATACGAAAGAGGAAAATTTTGCGGTCACATGTAAATACAGTCAAAGACTGTTGAAACTCAAGAGCACATCATCGAAAAACATAATACATGAATTGATGAATTATATAAAAGAGAAACGATTGTGGTGATGACGTACCTTTTGGTTTGACCAGCAGTTTTTGCAATACCAAGTTGTTTTCACTGTTGTTTGTCTGCTGATTTTATTTCATACCTAAATGTTTTTGTTTTGCTTTGTAGATGGTATTTGGACAAGTTTGAGGATTATCCAAAGTCTCGACGTGCTCTTATCCCATTTGTCTTATGAAGACCAAATGAAAGGGCAAGGCACAAAACAAGAAAGGAGAGAAATCCATAGCCTGCGTAGCAAGCATTTCCAAGGAATGACAAGGAACGGGATAATTGATTTTAGCCTTTTTTTCGTGGGGTCTTGTTCCTCGTTCTTTGCCCTGAAACCGCACGGAAATGCTTGCTACACAGGCTAAGAAATCAAAACAATCGTGTGATTGACAAAAATAAAATTTAGATAGATTTTCTCAATTTATTTAGCTGTTGCAACTAATGTATTAAAAACGTGGCAGAAAAAAAACAAGGATAACGACATTGGTACTGTTCTTGTTTTCATACAGGCACCATTTCTTTTAAGGGCAGAGGAAGAGGAAGTGCAAGGGGAGAAAAGGAGAGGAGCTGGCCTCCTCTCCCCTTTGCATGTTCTGCTCGCGCGTCCTGTAATAAGATAATAATTTATTGGTTTCCAATTGTCAATTTATTTTTTTGTTGCGTGACAGTGAAAACGATCCATACCCCAAAAACCCCTACCTAAAAAAAAAAGAAAAACAAACAAGCCACTCAAAAAAATACCTGCCATATTTTCCTACCCCAAAAAGTCCCAAAAAGATCCTTTGATCATCCATATAGTTCTGAACACGCGAGTTTCAGAAGTTCACGGAAGTACACCACGCGTTCATGCTTCATTGGAAACCGGCCCTTAGAAACCAATGAAAACGTTGCGTGAAATCGAGGCAAATTGTTCGAAATCTGCCGCCATATTTGCACGGTATGCTGAAAGAATGTGGCCATGAACTGTGTTTATCTTTCTGAAACTGTCTTTCCCCGTTGAGTAAAGGAGTATGGTAGAGTTCAATGGCTTCATATCTGAAATATGAATATCACAGAGTGTTTTCAAATGAGAAAAAGGCGATCAACTGATAAAACGCAAGGGCGTGGAAATGAGTCAGGTAAATTATTGATTAAGCACCAGTGACGGTAGCTGCGCTGAACCGCAAACGATAAGATTGTATTTATCCTATAAACTGAAGACTATTTAAATTATATAAAATAAATTAACTATAAAATTTAAGTGCCTCATTACAATGCAACTTTTTGGAAGTTTCGTTGACGTCAAACTAATGAAAATAGCGCGTCCTCATTCCGAAAATATGAAACGCGAGCCACATCGCATCAAAAGTAAGCTTAAGTGTGGATTTTTATCCACATCATTCCTGTGGAAAGGCAATAGTACGATTAGTTAGCTATGAGAACAAGAATAATGTTATTGAAGCCTAAAATGTCATTATTTCCGTCACTCTAAAAGAATAGTGAAATTCTACACCCTGTTTAAGACTCAAGACCTTGAAAACCATACCCTGTTCAGCGGCACATACCCGTATAGGCCAAATAAGGGAGTGCTCCCCCCCCCGCCGCCGAGCCCGGTTCGTCGCACTGCTAAAAAGTGTTAGGATCTTGTGTATTAAATTTTGCACCCCTCGGTTGAGTGTTGGTCAATACTATCAGGCGATATTTCGACAACACTTGGTCAATATGGCGAAAAAATCTAAATTTCTGTCCTAAGGGTTGAAAACAGTAGGATTTATACATCTTGAGCTCTATTTATTTATTGGTGATTCAATCATTGGCAGGCAGATAGGCTGCTAGCAAGCTCTCTGGGGGGCTTTGGGTGGGGAATGGGAGAAAACAAGAGCTTGTAGTCTTGTCTCAGGAATTTGAATTCCTGTGTCATTGCAGTGGCCTCTTTGTAGCAGACAGAAATAGGGCTTGGTCCAGTTAAATCCCTCTTCTGCTTTTAAGATCCCCATGAAAAGGCATGCAACATAATAAGGCAGGCAGACAAAACCATGGCACAAAACAACATTTATTCAGGTAGCAATACAGATGTGGTAATCTACCGTTTAAACTAAATTGCAGTTTCACCAACAGTTAGAGGCTACTTTCATGTTCTTTCAAGTGGAGTTTCTGAAAATTAGAGTTAACTGTCGGGTGTGGGAGGATCTGCTTTATAATTTAGATTAATCCAGGTCTGTTGTTAATGCAGGGCTGTCACTAGGATTTCAAGTTGTGAGGTTAATACAACAAGTAGGTTGGGAGTCAGGCAGCTAGGGATATCTTCAAATTCTTGTTTTCTTCTGTTTTCTTATGAAATTAACGGGGGGTCATTTTCATAGTAGTCCGGGGAAATCCCTGGCCCTTAAATGACTGTCCTGCATACTGAACACAAGGTATCTGTGCTCTTTTTGCATATTCAAAAGTGCATGTGAAGCTATTTTTTTACAGAGTCGTCTGCAAGCTGCACCTGTAGTTGTCTTGATGCCCTGCTTATTATTTTTTGTACAAAATTTATTCAATTTATTCAACACCAGATGACATAATGTAAGTGCCTTTGAGTCTACATTTACAGGTGTATGGGGCCATCTAGTTGCAGCTGCAATCTAGCCATATGTAGTGGTTGATACAAGTTCCAGTTATCATTTTGTTTTGCAGGGTTTCCTCCTAGAACTCCAGTCAGGAAACTACAACATTTTCCTCATGGTTTCCCTGCCGCAAGCAGCTTTAACAACTCTTTCTCTGATCAATCTCTAGAGATAGTGTGGGACAACAACTCTCCTTCACCTGCAAGAACTTTGTCTTTAGGTAGATAACTACTTCTCTGCTTTTGGAACTGAGTTTAAAATACACAATAGTCAACCAGTTACTTAAAGTATTACCAGTATAATTAACCTTTTCCATATGCAATTAGGGCTCTCTGAATTGGTTAGGCAAGAAGTTCAAGTAATATAATAATATATCAAGCGTGACCTGCAGTGTTTCATCACCAGATGAAACACCAAGAAGAGAGTCAGAAGAGAGTTGAAAATACAACACACAGAGGAGTATTTTTGACAAACTTCGAGGTGTTTCATCTGGTGATGGAACACTGTGTCAAATGCTTGATATTACTTCTCCAACAAAATGATTTTAGAAGGAGAAATTAGGGATGCAAAAATGAGCAGTTTTTCATCTGATTTCCAAACACTCATTAAACGTTAATTTCCTTTGTATTTTCTAAATGAATTATTAATGAGATTGAGAAGTTTATTTCAACATTGAAATGAAAAATTTATAAACTGCACTGATTGATTTTATGATATTTCTGAGAAATAGCCAGAAAGACTTGGCCTAAAACAGATCAGCTGGCTTTTTAATTAACTACAGCTTCAAAGTATGTAACTTGTCAAGGCATGATCTCAAGGTGACCGGGCTGTAAAGAATAATAGTTTTGTCAGTTCTGGCTGCGGTTGTTCATGCAAAAGGTGGATAATACTATCTATAAATTTTCATCCAGTGGATAATGCTATATATGTTTCGCTAGTACAGGGCTGTGCTCTAGCAGAGCCCTGTGACCCCTGGCACATAACTTTTGCCCAGGGGCAACTAGAAAATATCAGATTTTTCATACAAATCTTATGCTGGGCACCCTAGATTTTACAGTTTCAGAGTACTGGGCTCCCTTCAATTTTCCTCAGAACACAGCCTTGCTAATACTTATCTGCTTGATAGCTTAATGGTAATTTATCTGGTAGATATCCAACATTTGAACAACCGTGGCCTGAAGTTCACATTATTTTGCAAAGGAACATAGTGAGACTTGTAATGGGCTGGTTGCAGCTGCTATTTTTTACATTGTTTCAATCAGGTAAAAGGAAAAAACATCATGGAAGTGACAGCAGCAGCAGTGGTGGTGAAATTTCAGATCTAGTACAGAAGCTGGCAGATAAGGTAGGTGCCTCCAGACACCTTGCGATACGTGGTGATGAAACAAATAGACCTTATTCATGATACCCGCCATCTCTACATGCACATCAGGAGTGATATGATAAAAGCAATGTCACATCCAGGTATTTCAGGACGCAAAATAAAATTTAGCAATACAAGTAATTGCAGTCAAGTTCATTATATTCTCTCAAATAAAGACCATGATTTTAGTTTGGAAAATGTACAAAATAATTGAGTTTTTGCGTACTGTCAGTGATGACATCTACATTCACTTGGCCATTGTGGAGGTTCAACTGTATACCCTACTGACCCCAGTAGATAACACTATCCACTGGTTAACAAATAGATTCCATGCTGCCACGCATCTGTTTAGTAAACAGATGACATCAAATTGTGGTAAAAACAAAGAAGTGGCACACGAGCCGTAGATGAGTGTGTCACTGATGTTTTTACCACATTTTGACGTCTTTTGTGATCTGTTACCGACCAGACCCATGGCAACATGGAATCTATTTGTTTTATACAATGAAAAGTGAAGAAAAAACAACGTACACATACAGTCTTTTCTTGTACCACTTGACTGTTTGACGATTTGTGCTAGTTAAGCCATTTTTAAATCCCAAACGCTACTTTTTGTCTCTGCTTCTTCTTTTCCTCTTTAGCTTTACTTGTATACAGTTTCTCTGAAAAGTTTTCCACCGCCTTCACTTGCTCAAAGCAGAATAATCACAAAAGCATTCTCAACACTGTGAGTCTCTCGTAGCGATGACACACGATGGCAACTGTTGTGATAATTTCTTGCAGTTAAGGTATTCTCAAGTTGACAAGAACTCATTTTGTTTCCGTTTCTCCCTTTTTCTTCTTTGGAAATAGCTCGTGCTAAACGTTTTTCAAGGCTTTCACTACTCCGAAATAATCTCGCAAACATTTTCAAAACTGTGCACCACGTTGAGCAAAACAAAGAAAACAAGTTAGCGCAATCAGCTTCCCTCTTACTGATCTGTTCGATGAGATTTATCCGGTAGATAGCACGATCACACTTTTGAACAACCACAGCCAGAAGGATTTTTAATAGCAAATTGCTGTCATTTAAGAATTTTCCATATTTTATTAAACATCTATCTTATTTGTTTTCAGTCTGGTCATACCCCAGAGACCAATCCACCACTACTTGCATTTTGGATGTCTAGAGATAACACTACAACTTTACCAAAAAGTAGCAATGATACAACTGTTAAGGAAGAGAATGTCACAAAACAGAAGAGCACAAAGGAGTTTCAAACACCATCCAGAAGACCAAGGTTTGTCAATAATAATACTCTCTTAAACCATAAAGGAGATGAGTTGCAGCGACAAGCCTGCAAATAACAGCCAGTCATCAGTCAAATGACGGACAAATTTTGGATTTTTACGGGCTAAAGTTTGGCCTGGTCTGTCACTCTCTCTTCCTTTTTTCCTTTTTTTGACCTACCAGACTGGTGTGTTGACCCGCAAAACCTGGTCCTTGTCTGGTCAAATGACCACCCTACAGCCCAAAGTTATTTGCAGGCTTGAGCAACGTGAAGCAGTGTTAAAAATGAATAGTTCACTCATAGGAACATGTAACAGAGACTTTTTGCAGTGACAAAACCACTACTACAAACAAACACACCGAAAGATGTAATTTCATGTGTGGACATTGTATTGGTCATCTTGTAACATTTTGTATCTGCCCCTCCTGCTACCCACAACTTCTCCTAAGAATTTGCTCCAAGAAGTTAAACAATTAATCGCAATTTTAAATTAAAGCATGTTGCTTGGACAAAACTCCGCCATTTCCTGTAGTTGCACAGAGTAGGAGAAAACCAACAGTATAACTACACATAAGACATACCGAGTATCCAAGCAACACAAGTCCCCAAGTCTATTATTATTATAATAATATTATCATCATGGATATGAATTTGCTCTTTTACAGAAGAGTTGTTAGAAAATGCAATAAGTCAAAGATGAAACTGCTGAAGCAAGACATTGAATTACTTATTCATCCTGTGGAAAAGACAGGTATGGACTGAAGAACCCCGAGATCTGACATTTTCTTCTGTTGTCAATGAATCATGTGTCTACTAATCTAAAGAACTCTTGAGCACTGCCGCTGGCCCCCACATTGTTCAAACGTTGGATACCACTATCCATGGAATAAATCACTTTCCAGCGGATAGGTAGTATCAGATGGAAACCAATTGCATTATCAATAGCATTATCCACCTTTAAAAAACTGGGGCAGCTCAAGTTAATCAGGACATTTTTGTAGTTACACTATTGATGTACACTAAATTGGCCAATCAAGTTTAGAGTGTTTAGCTAAGAGATAATTAATTACAGTTTAAGATCTCATAAGTAGACATCCCATGGGACTAAGTAAGTATTCTTTTCAGCATACAAGAGGTGACAACTTGCAGGAAAAAGGAGATAGGAACTGGCAGAAAGATTTCATTCCTCTAATTGCTGATAAATTATATGTAACAAAAATTTCGCGCAGTTTTTTGTTATATAATTGGTACAATTTGTTTTGTTTTAGAAGGATTTTTCTGTAAATCGTTTACAGTCTTGTTATCTCAGTTGTGTGTGGTTTTAACAACAATGTTTACCATGCTGTTGTCAGTTTTTGTAAGGATGTACAATTACAACTGTTGTCCCATTGTTGACAAACATGAATGTTTTTTTTCTGCAGAAGAGGAATCGTCAGTTTTAGACAAAGGAACCATTCAGGAGTCAAGGTAATGGAAATCACTTCCTTGGCAATATTAAAGGCATCTTTTAGAAGAAACCCAGGTGACTTCTGAACACCTGCCAGACACTTTTGGCAAATAAACATAAGGCTAGTCGACCTGGGGCTGAAACCATTTAAATAAAAACTAAACCTAAATAATAAGGGGGTCCTGATAGTTTTGTTATATTACTGGCTATTAATTAAACTCAATCTACATAAACCAGCTTTCCAGGCTTTGCAGAAGTTGCACAAAATGCACTCGAGGGGCCCATTTCTCGAAATTCCCAGTAACAATGCTGGGCCAGGGAAGCTGCCATGATTCAAGATCCAGGTTTCAATAGTTTTGCAGTTAATATGATACTGTAATACTGTTAGTCAACATGACAATGTGGACAGGTTTGTTCGCTAAATGTGGGGTACTTTTCTTTTTTAAATTTTGATTTTAATGTAAATTGGGGTTCCCAAGCTGATAAATTACCAGTGACGACTTTTGAGAGCTCTCCAATCACGGACATGAACACGTACACCGAAACGTTTTTGAAACTTACACTGAATTAGAATTACTTTGCACTTCAAATAACTTGGTGTGTTGTTGATTCATTTTTAGTGACAAACAACAAAACTTAAATCAAGAGGCAGATGTGTTAAACCACCCTGAAATTGAAGCAAAGTGTATTTCTGGCAACCCTGCTAACAGTTGTTTGTCAATTGGTGGGGGTGATTTCTTTGATGCGTGGGATACAGATGAAGATGATATCTTACTTAGCCAGATGGAAATTCCATCCTTTAACAAGAAAATTCCAGAGACTCAAATTATGACCAATACCCAGTTCCTTGACAGCGGAAAAGATGGCCAAAAGACACTGTTGAACGAGAACCATTCAGCATCACATGCAAGCTCAAATGAAAGCATAGTTACAGAAAGTTGGGATTTCATCGATACATTTGATGATAGTGATGATGAAAACATTCTACAGAGTGCACTAGAGGATTTCGAAAAGTCACAACAAGTGTCTATTCCAAATGTGCGTAGGCTGTCAAATTTGCATGTGAAGCCAAGTTTGGTTCATAAAGATACTTGCAAAATTAATGATTTCAATGAACTAAGACAAACAGCTCCTGTTGCTAAAGGATCAAAGGAAAATTTGCCTGCATTTCAAAAGAATTTAGTTTCAGATCAAAATTTCTCACAAAAGCGGACCTTCACTTTTATACCACGTTCTTCGATACAGGGAACTGTTTCTGCAAGATCAGAGCAGCTGATAAACAGCTTTAACAGTCTTACATCATCAAATGACAACTTCAAAGCTGTAAAAGCAGAGACGGATTCTCACAAAATCAATGAGAAAAATTTAGCAGAAGGAAATGCTAGCAGACAGAAGGACAGTCATGGGCAGATGAACATACAAAGTAAGTATTAATTTCTTTTATAGTATATTAGTGAACAGTGATTCTTGTTTGAAGATGTATAAAGTGGTCATCATTTCATAGTATTCTTGTTTCCTGTAAAGTAGAGACTCTTGCACAGGAAAAACAATCGTAGATGTAGTTTGGCCTCTCATGTCAAAAATATGAGCACTGTCTAAATGATTTCTGTACTGTACTTTTCAAAACAGGAATCCTTAAACCTTTCAATGAGCTGTTTGTCATCTGAACTGCTTGCAACAAATGCCAACAATGAATGGCCATCAAACTTTTAAATGGCTTGTAAAGGTACAAAATGTTCATGGAGAAAAAATGTTGAGAAGAGTGGATGCAAATTTGTTTTTTTTTTTTTTACAGGCTACGACAAGGTCGATGAAATTTTTGTTCATGAAACTCTCTTAAATCAATGAAATGCTCAGTAAAATATTAATTTGAAAACAGTTTGTTACTGAACAACGCATGGATACAATTACATGTCGGTGTGCAAAGAAAGGTGTGTCCGATGGGTCAGTTTGCAATCAGCCTGTGTTCTTAACTTGCACAATGGTCAAGTGAAATTTTTTGAGTTATTCAAATTACAGAAGAACTGTCGTCAATCCTGCCAACCCAGAATGTTTTCAGGCTAGTACGTGCTAATACATTGTGAGGAAAAAACAAATTGAATTGAATCTGAAATTAAACAGAAGACTTTTGAACAGGATTAAGTGTCCTTTCCAATGGCACAGTTACAATTTAGATCTTAAGTGCTAAATTCAGTTTGTTAAACTATGGTAAAAACGAAGTTTCAATGCCAGAATTTTATACTAGAGACGGATAAATCGTCTAGAAATAAATCGGGTGTTCAGATGAATTTTGGCCTCAAATTCGTCTTCACTTGATTCATCTGTAGCAAGTCTTTAATACAGACGTGCTGACAGACGAGGCCAATTGGGGCCAAGATTCGTCTAAACACCTCATTTATATCTAGATGATTTATCCGTCTCAGACAGATGATTCGTCTCTAGTATAAATTCGGCCAACAACTCAGCATTGAATTCAGAGCTGTTTGAAAGGAAAAAAATGTAACCTTATCTTGAAAACAAAAGAAATAAACATAATTGAATATTAATTAATTTTAGCGTTGCGTCAAAAAGCGAGATTTTGAAAGCTTCTCATACATGAGATTTCTCCTTTCTTGTCTTTTTCCATCTCAGGTGGCGCTGTAACTACTAAACCAACAAGATACTCAAAAGAAGAAATTGAGAAAAAAAAGCGTGAAGCACAGAATCGACGTAGACAGAAATTGGCTCTAAGCCAACAAAAACATCACAGATAGAAAGTATATAACTGTTATCAGGGAGAACTGTTTTTTTTTCTCTTAAATGTAACGTTATACTAGTAGGTACTGTTTTGTAGTAATGGTATGTAAATACAATCAGTTTAACAAGAACTTTCATACTGCAGGGCTTTAAAAAAAAGCTCGAATTTTTACTTGCCCTTTAGACAAGCAGCCCTTAATTCTGCAGCACCAAGAAACGTCCCTTACTCGCCTTTTGGGCGAGGGTCCAAGGCAATCTGTAGTAACTAAAAAGTAAACTAAAGAGGCATGCAACTGCACTACTAGCCAAGCAAAAATTAAAGGGAAGTTTTTTAGGTGTTGAAGATGGGTGCAATCGCCAAATGACGTAATTCAACAGATTAAATATCCACACCTCAACACAAAAGCTAACAAACGATGGTTTCCGCAACACAAACAAACAACCTAGCCTGCGAAAACAGCCGTTTCTCCTCGGTCTTCGCCATGAACGAGGAGAAACGTCTGTTTTCGCAGGCTACAAACAACCCAAGTGAGCATTAAAGGCTGCTTGCCTAAAAAGAAAATCGTCTTGTCCAAGACTACTGGACAGGACTTATTTCAGCCCTGATTTATTAATAAATGAAGATCATCACATATAAATTTGTACAGTTGTAGTTTTGGTAAATAAAAGTGATTAATGTCAAGTTTGAAGGAAATCCATAACTTCTGTTGTGACTTGTTTCTTTTTTTCTTGCGATCCCTATCTCTATACTACAGATCCCTATAGATTCAACCTCCAGAGTTCCTAAATCTGAAGACTGTCTCTTGTGCAGTACCTCCTTTTGCCCCCCTCCCCCAATATAAACGCACCACAAATCACAAAAGAAATGTTCCTGTAGAAAGTGCGGTGAACAGTGCTACTTGTTTCGTAACATTGCTGAAATACGAGTTGAAAAGCGATATTGCACATTTTACCACCAACAAATCAACCCTGTCTTCCAACAGTTGCAAAAAGAAGCTTCTCTTTAATTTTTCTCAGTTTAAGCCCTCCGTCCAGACATAAACGACGTTTTCGGGAACCAAAAACGCAGGTTTTGAAAAACGATCTCCGACAGAGTAGAGATTGTTGAAAATGCTGGCCTCTCGTTTACGTGACGTATTCTTTGAAAACGCTGCAAAAGAGTGGGAGAGAAGTGAGATCCGATTGAGTAGAGATAGCTAACGTCTATGACACTATTTCAGCCCTCTCGAGACCCTAATGAGCGCGATGAATTCCTTCTTAAAGTTTTTATTGTGGCTGATAAATTTCAGTTGATGTGTTGAATGGAATAACTATTTTTGAGCTATTCTTTGCTGCTCTGAGTACAGGAAATTATCTTTAAATTATTACTTTGTTAAAGTGTTAATGGTGGTCTCCTTTGTGATTACGCCATAAAAAATAATTGCTTCCCTTAGCTTAACTGTAAAGCTTAGTAATGAAGGAAAAAAGATGTAGAATCGTGATTAAGGAACGCCTATCCAGAGGAACTCGTCAGATTTTCATGAACATTGAATAGTCTTGGAAGCTCAGCACGTGGGCCAATTCATTAGGCCCTTCTCAGGGACCTTCTAATGACGGTGAACAAGAGAGGATAGAGGCGCTTGGGGTGAAATATTCCTTCCTAACGTTCGCATTTTAATTGCAACTGAAGAAGTTTATTAGGGTGTGAATGAAATATTCCACTTTTCAATTTTTTTATGGTGTTCTGAGTACAGAAAATTAATATTTGATTACTTTCTTAATTTTTATCATTGTTCTGCCTGACTTTTGTGGCAAAATGAATCCTGAATACCGTGTTGTCTGGACTTTTTCAGCCTTTCTTTTCGCAACTGCAAAGTTGCGTCCATAACCACTAAAACCTGCAATGATCTTCATTTATTCACTGATTCATCACTCAGCAGTTCCTATATTTTATTACTAAGTTTCATACATTCATTATTTTATGGTCATCCTTTGATGGGTTCATACCGAACCAACTCAATGAGGTCCAATGACTTGTCTTCATTTGACTTGTAGCTCAAATGGTAGAGGACTGAACCAGAATAGCAGAGGTCAAGGGTTTGAATCCCGTAAAAGCTTGCATTTTTTCAGGCTTTCTAAAAGATGCGTCTAAAACTGCAATGATCTTAAATATATTCGCTTCTGTAGGGAAAGTTCATTTAATATGACAAGGGGGGGGGATGAAGATATTGAAACTCGAAGCTTGAAATTTTAGCAGCCCCCCTCGCTAGCGGTTCAATTTTTTAGGAGCCCCCTCCTTGGTAGTCGAAAAAATTTCAGAGCCCCCCCCTCCTCCTTCAATTCCTTTGCTCCCCTGAAAAAAGATCGCTAGACTGTATTAAATATATTTAACGTTATTGTCTTCAATGGTTTATACTATGACAAACTTGAGATACAATTTTCTAAAGCATTTTTGGGATGAACAAGAGTGTAATAATTACTGAGACTACATTTGTTATATCTGTAAACCACGTCATATAGCTGAGTTGCACAGGTCATTAAATTGTTGAGTTGAAAACCATCCGATCTGTATGATGATGTCATGTGTTGGTTTTGAAGTATACAAATTTTCGGAGCCCCCCCTAGCGCAACAATTTTTTTCAGAGCCCCCCTTCGGGTGTCTAAAAATTTTTGGAGCCCCCCTCAATATCTTCATCCCCCCCCCCTTGTCATATTAAATGAACTTTCCCTTACCCCCAGTTCCTATAATATATGATTTTCATAATTTATATTCATTATTTCATAGGTTTTCAACTTGTTTTGCAGCAATGCTGCAAAACACTTTTGCACGTTTTTGTTGCCTGTGTTACGATAGCTTAAACCACCGAAACGAGAGTGGATAAATATTATGTATCACAGCATGATTATTAATACAGGGTTCATACAAAAAAATGCGACCAATTTTCAAGGACACATGGAATTTTCAAGGACCAACTACCCGGAATGTAATTTCACAGATGGTCCATAAATGCACATTCTCAGTGTATTAAAGGTAAGGGAATTTTAAGGCCTCAAGTGTTTGCCCCATCTTTTTTCTTATATTTTACTGTTTTGGTCAAAAATTAACAGGCATCAAAAAAACACTTTCCCAGCATTATTTGCCGAAGAAGCCAATGAAACATAGAACTCGTAATAAAACTACATGTAGCATACGCAGGAGCATTAAGACACATCCACGTTTGACTGATTTTTGAATTGGATTACTTTGCTTTTCAGTTTCTCTTTATAAACTGCTTTTACAGTGATAAAAGTTTCTTAAAACAGGAAAAGAATACCAAAGTCTAACAAAAGAAATTTGCTTCCAACCCCACTACAATTCAGGCTCAAGAAAATTCAAGGACTTCCACAGAAATTCAAGTAATTTTGAAGGAAAGATGAAATTCAAGGACCCAAAGTAAAACTCATGGACTTTTCAAGACTCTGCGAACCCTGTAATAGAGTGGAATGATTATGAAGCACGTAAGACTCCTTTGCTTTCCTTCTGTGGACTTGACGGTACACAACGTTCAATGTGTCAGCTGATGTGTAGTTCCAGAAAATATCCATACCCCTCTCCCACGGAGGGCACTTTTGCCTTAGACACCCACCCCCTGGAATTTTCATTCTAGGGGGTGATTATCATACCCCCCCCCCTGGAAATTCCTTAATTTTTCTAGAATTCCTAACAGTTTCATCGAATTGACAAATAAAAACGTCGCTTTAATTTATTCAGTCACAATTTGTGAACAGAAAACAAAAGATTGTGCATGTCCATCTAAGAGCTCCTAACATAAACTGCAACATTGTTGTTTTATCTTGGACGTTTGCCGTCTTTCATAATCAGTCTCCTCGACTATGATCACAGTGTCAAAATACACTCCATAAACTTGTCCTTCCAAGTATCTTTATTTTAAAAAGTAAAATGCTACAGTCATGACAATAATATTAAGCTACAAAAATAATGTTATTTTTCTAATTTATTTCCATTTTACAATGCACGATTGGCAGTAACTAATTTTAAAAAATTTTCTTTGGAGCAAGGAAATAGAAAACTTACAGGAAAATTTAAAAAACCATCAGTTCATTCAGCATAATCTTGGATTACAAGTTACTATTTCCTGCAAGATTAGTCTGAAAAGATTTCTGCAAGGAACAGACGGTAGGGTTTTAAAAAAGAAAGTTTAAACAAAGAAACAGACAATGTGGCTAGGCAATGGCCTTTAGTTTTATAATAAGCTTCACATTTTAGAAAATTGTCACCTTTCTCCACTTAAACAAGAAAAACGTTTCCCCAAAGGTAATAATTACTTTCAAGGAAACGTTTTTAATGATTAACAATGCTCAAACAATGATTTCAAATGTCTCGTAGCCTGTTTCTTTACACAGTCTTTATTGCATTGGTAAAATGGCAGAGCTAATATGCCGTCATTTGCACATGAATCCTCTCCACTTTAAAATAAATTATACATAGTACGATGCAGAGAAAATGCACTTTGTTATGATATTAAGACTTAAAAAGGTTAACTACTAGAGTCAAACAGTGAAACTAACACACTCTAAAATCATTTCCTCTAGGTCCCCTCAGTTAGTTTGTTGATCCTAAAATTTTGTTTCACCATAATTGTTTCTTTTTTTGTTAGGGACTGACACAAAAATGAAAAGCCAAATGCTTTGTTAAAAACAAAAAACAGTCCTTTACGTATACTTGAAGTTATATTGCCATGCAGCTATGAGAAACTGCTCTTAAATATTTCCCCATGATATTTTCATTTATTTTTCTTATTCACAGTCCCAAAATATTTAGAATTTTTCACCTACCGGTAGTTTGTGTAACCTCCTTAACTAGGAAACCACAAGGCAACAACGGTAAAGGTAGATTTTTATCCAGCATTTTTCCTGGCAAATTTTAAAACTGGCTCAAATGAAAAAAACCTGACACACAAGTTGAAATGTGGCAGAACTATATATTAAAAAATATGATCAACCATCTCCTATATAATAATAGTTTATTCCGCTGAATTCTGCTCTCAAACTTAACCCTTTTGTTCCTCGCAGACTGAAATCTGCCAGGCTATAAGGTACATCAGGTATCAGGTATCTGAAGCCTAAGTCCCTGAGGTGTGCCCAAAAATCAATTTGGGGGAGGAAGAGGACTGAATTCTTACAATGTTTAACATAAACATTTTCTATAGTTAACCCTGGTCATTTCACTGGTCAGCGGAAACCCTGTTTTGGCTCCTACACTCGCTAGAAAGTTTCACATTTTCACATTGGTTTCCCTATGGTGAGGAAGGACAGGCATACAGTCACCTGATTACCATGAACACTTCTCAGATGGACAGATTACCAAATTGTCTTAGGCATGGGGCCCCGCTCACACGTGCTATCTCCACTGTCATTATTTTAACAAAATTCTGCTTGCAACTAGTAAAAACACATCATTAACATACAATGGAGGCCAAAACTTCTTGGGACAGTTATTGAAAATCTTCCTTCAACAAAGGAAACATATCAAATATGCAAAAGTAGCATAAGACCCATTTTAATTTGCAATAATTCGGATATCTCTAATGGCCCTCCCCTCCCCCCTCCAAACAATGTTGCAAATTTCTTTTTTTCAGGACAGGGTAAAGTGTACAGGCAGGGTTAGAAAAATGTCTGGTCTAATTGTGCAGGACTTGTAAGCAGATTTTCTTGCTGGGCACGTTTTTAAAGCCCACTTGCCCAATGAGCAATGGTTCAAACAAGTCGTCCATTAAAAGACGAGCAAGAAGTGGCCCTGAGCAAGCAAAATGTGAGAGCTGCTTGCCCAAAACACAAGCTTGAATTCAAGTTTTTTTTTTTTTGAGCCCTGACAGTGTGCACAAAATACACCATTACTTGAGGGCAAGGGGGAAGGTAGTCAGGTTAATTAGTCTTATTGTGTTAAGTATCCCAAGACTTTTGACCTTCATGGTAGACAAGATCAGAAAAAATAAAAAGCTTGATGCAATACTATGGTCCTTAACTGTTCCAACTCCATCCACCGTTAGCTCCATATGGCACTGACGGAGCTCCCCACATCATTGATCCATCGTCATACCAGTTCCCTGAATCTTCTACAATATCACCCCAGCCAGTGGGCTCCTCAATACCTTTAAGTTCAACACCACCCCAGCGATCAGGGCCTTTGGGAGGGTTTGGAATTGTTCCTGCTGGCATTTTGTAAGAATCAGCATTTGTTGTTGACTTAAGGTTACCTAGTTCTTGAATGAGACTGGGAGTCACTTTAGAGGTTGTAGGCTTTGCAGCAGTGCCATTTGTCTCTTGATGCAGTGCATTCACATACTGTTGAACCATCACATCATCCAGGTTGTCATTATCATCAACAACTACAATGTCTTCTAAATATTCATCCTCAATCCGTCCATCCACAACGACCGATGCCTCCCACTCACGCCAGGGATCAAAACTTGAAGCTTGATTTTGAATGCTAGACCCTGATGGTCTAAGTTCCTGTTGTGGTGTTGACTCATCACCCCAACTCTTCTTTCGATTGCTTTCCTCTTTTTTACTGCCCTTATTGTAAGTCTGTTTTTGCTTATTGACCCATGGTCTACTTTTCTGCTTTTTGAAGTTCTTTTCCCATTTACTGTTTTGGAATCTTGGGGGAATCATATCATTGATTGCCCCTTTGTTGTCATCAACAATATCCAATTTATGTATGCAGTTTTCAAGACTGTTTTGCGTGGCTTCAGTTTTCATGTGGTCTTGCAACTGAGAGTATCCAACAGGGGCCTTTGAACATGCATTTCCACTATTTACATCAAATAAGAAATCATCTCCATCTAACTGTAGCTGGCTTGATGATGATGAGAGAGAACCAGAATCACTTCCACTTTTGCCAGCATTTAAGTGTTTTTCAATAGTTTCCTGAGAAAAACATTGAAAAGGGATAATAAGGTTACAAGTTACCATAAACTCTCTACATCTCTTAGCAGACCATACCTATGTAAGTCAAACACTTGCAAAAAATTGCAACTAAGAGTTCAGTGATGCCCCTTTCTTACCTTCAGTCGTTCCTTTTGACTCTCGTTAAGGGTCAGATCTCTCTATGATAGACATTCACTTCATCTTAAGGTGATGTTACATTTGTTACAGGCTAAATTTGATTTCAGGTTAATTTTGATTTAACCTAGGTTGACTCTCAATTTTTTCTTTGTCTACACTAGCCCTAAGAGACAATAATATTATTGCTTCTTGAAAGATCAACCTAGGAAAACATTTTTTTTTTTTTCACAAATGAATGATTATTTTTGGAGCAACATGGCGTTGCAACATTGATTCAAATCATTGCAACATAGTTCCAACACTATGTATTATAATTGTTGCTAATCATCCTTTCAGGGTCTGAGAATGCTGTGAAATATGAAGTTACAAGCCCATAAATGATCAATATGTCCTGTGTCACCTGGAAGCCATGCTTTTCTCAAGGATTATTCAGGGGTAGAGGGTAATGAAAAGGGGTTGTAGGTGGTGACAGGTTGAAAACAATGGTCGCTTTGGATTCTCTTATTAATAATTTTGTTACCTTGTCCAGCAAGATTTTCCCACTCAGTATTAGCTGCTGTATTTGTTTTCTTTTTTCAACCTCCTAAATACACAACAGGCAAAAATTGTAAATTCATACTCAATTTATAATGTTTAAAACAGTAATTCTTGTGACCACGTAAATACATGCTCTGCAGTTGCTAATAACAATGAACAGCAGACAACTTAATTTGTAATATGATGCTTTCCTTTTTAGCAATCACTACAAAATATTTGTTTTAAAGCAATTAAATAAAAAAAACACCAAATGATTGGCAATCCCACTTAATTTCCACTTTCCATGTGTGTCATTAGCCATGTTTAAGCAGACAGCTGCATTCAAAATCAAACCTAAAGGCATTCATCATCATCATCATCATCATCATCCTTAGATCACCTGAGTGGACAGGACAGGGCATTCACGGAGATTTCTTCCCAAACACCACGATTCACCATCGCTGTTCTCAGGTCCCTGGTATCAAATCCTGAATCCCTAGCAATCACTTCAGGGTATGTTAGCTTAAGTGAATGCACTGTGCCCGCGGAGTGCCTGAGGATGAGCGATGATATTGTTTCCTTATCTGCCTGATAGCAATGACCAAACTGGAGACGCTTTTGTTTGAGTCTCAAAGATGGACGTGTTAGTCTCCCAGGCATTATTGCAATTATTATAACAAAAGAACATGAATTTAAAAAAAAAAACAATAACACAATGCCACACTTTTCATGGAAAAGACAGCCTCATTTTAATACTAGGAAAACTCATTTTAAGAAAACAATCACAATTTATGGGAGAAAATACCAAATAAAAAGATGATATTTATCAACCTCTGCTTTTGGAGACCTTCTTGCAGACTCCCTGAGAGCTCTTCCTCGTCCAGCAATGAATTTTTCTGTCAGTTTTGAGCCACTATCCCTCTGCTAAAGAAAAAAAAAATGAAATGAACACCTTTCATTATCATTATCATTATTGTTATTGCATTATTAGAAAGTACCTTACCATGTAAACTAACAGAAGTTACCAGCAAGTTCTTGAAAATATTTCAAAACAGCTGTGAAATATTGCATAAAATAAACAATAGGAATGAAAGAGAGTCCTGATATATTCTGAGCCATAGTTCTTTTGAAGATTGCAATAATATTAGTATTTCAACCAAAACTGCCTTCCCTTTCCTACAGTTTCAAGGCATCATATGAGCTGTAGAAACTCTATATTTTGCTCTTTGCTCTTTTCCAACTTGTGGCATCCCTTTTAACCAACCAAAATAAAAATCAGACATACCCTGCCTGGTCGGTGATCCATAATCATAAGTGCCGTATGTGTCTTTTCTGCGTCTACTAAGAGCTGCTCATGTCCTAAGAAACAAAAAAAAAAAAAAGAAAAAAGGAACTATTAAGGTTGGAAGCAGCTTCAACTGGGTACCACTGGGGCAAAAAATGGTAGATCTGGGACTCTGTAAGAACACAAGACCCAGGTTTTAAACTCCAAGACTAAGCCTTATCTTCTTTTATCAAACCCAAGACCAAGACTTAGTAAAGGCTCTAAGAGATGAAAAGTTAAAAAACAATAACACCTACAAAGTTCAAAACAGATTTTAAATCTTCATAGGGATGTGTGTTACGTGGTTACATAAAACACAGCAAAAAAAATAAAATAACAGAAATCATCCTGATGCAACTTCAATGGTAAAAATAAATTTTTAGGAGACTTTTAGAACTGTGGATACATTTTTGCAAAAATGGAGACTGAGGACAATCCTACACCCTTTAGCCTGAATTTCATCCAATTACTTCGAGTCGTTATTACTCCCTCAGTAACGTCTGAATCGACCGGCCGTTAATGCCGTCCAGTGACGTCACTACTCTTTGATCTTTGCTTTAATTCATGCAAAAAGTAAAACACGATTTTCAAGTGGCAAACCGAGAAATATTGTTTGGAAATGTCTGCATGACACAGAATTGCGTTATTTTTTTTTATCGTAATTCATGTTTAACGTTCAAACTATCAACAGCTTGCAGTACAACTCTGAACAGGTTGTAGTTTCCCTAGTACCTTTCCTCGCTTCCCTAGTACCTAGTATCCACCGAGGGCCACTAGGGAGAATACTTCATAGTAATAGGTGTCACCCTCTTAAAATAAAGGTTATTATTATTATTATTAGTTCTGTAATCAAACTCGGTCGCAATCACACAATGAAATAAACACACACATGGGACACTTAGTACAAAAACACAATGATTTGCTTTAATTGAAAAGAAGCTATTTGGTCCTTAACGAAGAAAAAAAAACAAGGAAACAAGAAAGAAAAGCTAACAGGATCATTACACCTGACGGTGAAAATAGTAAGAAGGTCGAATTATAACATTGATCTCAGAAAACTTCGCATAAACAAAATCACCAGCCTCCGAAACCACAAAGCGGCGCTCTACATAAAAAACCTACTGACTCTCCCCAATGGTTCTTCCTTCTCAGTTCAATTTAGCATTTCAGTTTCGAAGACAAAGGCAATTTTGCTGTTTAAGATAAAGATTAAGCTTATCGAAATGTTTGAACTACAGGAAAGAATGCCAGGGATGCGATCCGCTGAATATCAAGCGACAATCCCGCTAAAGTTTTTCATAATTATACATAATTATGCGAATGTTTAGACAATCAACCAATCAAAATCACTACCCGGTTTTCGGGTAGGGAGTGACATCACTGAACGGCATTAACGGCCGGTCGATTCAGACGTTACTGAGGGAGTAATAACGACTAGAAGCAATCGTTTCTCCTGAATTAAGATTCAAAGCTAAGTTAATGCTTATTAAAAGATCTTATCTGTATGGCTGGTAATGAACTTGCAAATGGGATTATTCATGTCAAAAGTTGCAAGATACCTGTTTGGCAGAGTAACAGCAGTCGTAAGGGACTCTAAAGGAGACTGGAGGCAGTGCAAGCTGGTGCAGAGAGCAGCTTTAAGTGTGACTATTAAATAAATTTTCAAAATCCTTTTCTATAATTAAAGGGAAACATTCATTCCCGTCTCAATAGTTGGGAAATACACGGTTTGTCGGAGGCAAATACATCATAAGTAAAATTTGTCTCAGCTTCAACCAACTTTTCCCAGTAGAACACTGGTTTAACCTGAGAACAGATTTTAACTACAATTCTACAAGAAATAATCTAGCCTGCCAATACCATGTGTACCAACTGCTCATCCACTTTCCTCTAGAGAGACAATCCCTGTGTAAATATGCGTTTTGAACAGTCTTTATGACGTCAATCTTTTCATTTTCACTCAACCGTTGTTTTGGGGGCTTCCAAATTAAGTTCACATGCTCTCCTAAACCCTCAGCTGCTTCAAACATTTTATTTGGTAGAAAAAAAGAAACAAGAATATTTCACTTTCCATGTGGTCCATTCAAACAAAATGTTATACTACATTTTTAGAGGGCATGTATGACACCGAAAACTTACAACTTCCTGTGACCACGAAAAAGGCTCATTAAAAATTTCCCAGTTTTTAATAGTATCCGATGAAGGTGTACATTAAAAGGGAATTATCATAAGATAAATGATAATAATCACTCATTTTGGCAGTTTAGATACAGTAAGCCTTAAGAATACACAACGAAGCCTTTTAACTTTCACTTTTATCTCCACAAATAAGCTTAATGCATAATTAAATTTATCTGTCAGTGAATTCCGAGCTAATTGTACCATAAAACAACGTAATCCTAAATCCCTAAGGTGTTTAAGTTTAAACAATTTTCCAAGAATCAGCAACCTATGATTTTAATCATTATTACTCTCATACATTAGCGCCGAGAAAACGTCCAAACTGTAAAACGACTGCCGCAATTGTTGATTCCCTCGATCGAGAACCAAACAAAAATGCAAAGAACTTAACTTACCTTTTCATCCTCATGGAATTCTCGTCTGATTCTTCAACGGTGACAACGAACAAAAAGTCAACAGAGTATTGTGAAAAGGTGTTAATCGGTTAACTTTCTACACGCTACGTTATACTCGGCTCACGAAAGTTTGACACGCCATGAATCAAACTCGTGCTCGGAATATTTGTTCGCGTGAGCGATTTTAGGGGGGTGAATTTTAAGAATAAAACGCTGGAACTTTTGTCATATTTTTATAAAAGAGCACCTTATCACGCTGATGACTTGTTTTGTTCATTCCAACCGAGCCGTTTAACAGGCGTGTTCAAGGCAAAATTAAATGCTTTCTGTTTCGCCTTTTGGGTATGATGTTTCGATCCCTTCATGTATGCCACACAAGATTTTGAGGCACGCACTTGACGTCACTTTTGGCCACCACCTCATGGCAGGCAAGGAACGCTTTTCCCCTCGTAAATAACTAGTATAAATACTTATAGTTGACACTACAGCTGCCCCCGCTCTTTATATTGTCGGTCAGTAGTATTCTTGCTCGTTGTGTAGCTCTTTGCAAATATACCGATTCAATGAAGATGTTCACACATATTCCATACAATAGGTGAGATAAATTACAGGAAATAAACTCAAGGTTCCATGCACAGTTTCAGTTCGATTTACAACTTTGTTCAAAGCATTCTCAGTTTCGAGATTAGTTTATTCTAAACCATAAGAAAATATTTAATTAGAAGTTGAATTTTTCGCTACTTCTCGTTCACTTTTTACATTCAGTTCATTTTATTTGCTGGAAAGTAAGCCTTAGAAATTAAAAGGGCGTTTGATCAATTCACGCTCGCGCATTCTAGTTTTATTTTAAATTTTATAGCGGAAGGAAATCTGTGAGCAGGGAATAAGTCAGCACAGAATTTGATTGTCTGCGAATTTCTCTAATAGTCCATCGTTCTGCTGGTGATAAGCTAGCCGTTGTACACTCGTCTTGCTTTTTTGTGGCTGAGTCTTATTCCGGCCACTGAATAGAGAGAAAGAGTGTCTGGCAAGGTTTCCAATAAAAGATTTGTGAACTCGTGTCTGGCCAACTCTCCAAGTGTTTATATTATGCTATATATACACAGTTATACGCATCTCATAGTGTTTTGGTCCATGGCTTTCAAAACAGAATGTCACAGATAACACGTAACGCAAAAGAGTATCGAAGTATAGGCACGTACAAAAGTCGGACCGGATCAACTCGGACCGCCAGTCCGGGTCGGATCAACTCGGATCGACTCGAACCAACTCGGATCGAATAAAAAAACAAAAATAAAATAAAATTGGACTTGGATCAACTCGGAGCAATCAAAAAAATTAAATTAAATCAGCAAAACTGAAAGTTTAACCCATTTGGAGGGTTAAAAAGGCCAGTTCATCCCTTTTTTGAGGGTCGTGAAGGGGTAAAATGGGAACTGGGATTAGCCTTATTGTGGACTGGGAAAATGGGGTTTACTCACTGGGACTGAGATTTAGCCACTGGGAATGGGATGAACAATTATAAAATGGGAATGGGATTTCTTTTCTTCAGCGGTCTTTGCTCCAATATTTTGAAATAGAAAAATAAAATTTCGTAGCAATAGACCTTGCACTTCTCAGTAGAGACCGTGAAATCAGTATTTTTCGCCTTAGCGCCAGCGGTCTAGCTACCAGCTAGCAGTGAAAGCGGAGACAGTGAGTCAGATGGGGATTGTGCAGATGATAGAATTGGTTTTCATATGGTTATGTCAACAAGGGCTGGAAGAGAAAGAGTGTTCACCAGCAGAATGAGAGATTTTCTTCAGTCCAGGTGAAGATACGTGTATCCAAATAGCGTCAATCAGTGCTTTTAATTTATTATGTGCAAGATTTTGCAAATAACCATTAATAATGGGATTTTAGATTTGGTAACTGGGATTTTGGCAAAAATTAGCCTGGGAACTGGGATTTGGTACCCCGCTTCACGACCCTCTTTTTTGTCCGTGGCTTTCAGGCGCCATTTTGTTTTACTAGTGCCAGTTCCTCTTGGATCATGTTATAAACTCGTGGTTGGTCTCGTGGATGTGGTTGCGTTACACGACGCGATATGGAGGTAAAATCTCGATCATCTTTCTCAATGAATTTGCTTCATTCCAAGAAAATGATAGTTTCAGTCGCCTAGAATATATATTTGCTTATAAAAGTGTACTGAATTGTTTATGAGAAAAGCATCAAAAGCCTCTGTTGATCGCATTTAGAGTAGTTACCGAAGAGTGTTTGTTTGTTTGTTCCTGTTTGTTTTTTTTCTGCAGGACTTCTGAAACTTAATTTTAATGATACACTAGTGAGCAGCACACATACATTTGCAGTGAACATTTTCAACTTGGAAGGAGGAGAAACCATGCTCGCCCGTACAAAGGAAATTTCCATGCCCTAGGCAAGAATCGAACTCGCGACCCTCCGGTTCAGTGGTTGGAACGTCCGATAAACTTGTAGTATTCGGAGGGTCGTGAGTTCAATGCTCACCTTGGATACGAAAATTTTCGTTGTCCCGGGCGAGCATCATTTCTCCTCCTTCCAAGTTGAAAATGTTCACTGGAAGTGTATGTGTGGTGCTCACTAGTGTATCATTAAAATTAATTAAAGTAAAAATAAAATTAATTTACGCAACCACGAGTTCGTGAGAAAAAAACAAAATGGCGGGTGAAAGTTAAGTGATACCGACTGATTTTATTTTTCTTTTTATAATCCGAGTTGGGTTTTTTTTTATGATCCGAGTTGATCCGAGTCCAATTTTATTTTATTTTTATTTTTTTATTCGATCCGAGTTGGTCCGAGTCGATCCGAGTTGATCCGACCCGGACTGGCGGTCCGAGTTGATCCGCATCCGGTCCGACTTTTGTACCCGCCTATCGAAGTATGACTGGACAATAAATGTCACAAAATCTACCTAAGTGTTCCCTTCAAGATTTTCTGTCTTAACGTCATCCTAACCATTTCGGCGCAAACAATAGAAACATCATCATTGACATTACCTACCGATTTCTCGCGGTCCCTGTTCAAGCAAATCGAGACTTTTTCTGGCATACTGACTGCATATTTCAACTGTAATTACTATCCTTAATATACGCGCAAGTTACTAGAGTGCCTCGTCGGGATTTTGCCTTCTGGGCGAATATGCTGCGGGGGCAAATATGCCTTTACACTACTGAATTTGTGTCGCTCTGTGTCTCCATTCTTATAGAGACGATATCCTAGAAAATTAGAGCAAAACCACTAACCAAGAATGCAAAAAATTCACTTCCGGTTGACGTCCACCACTCAAAAAACGTCCTTTCTTCTCGACACCTAACCGCTAGCCTGTAACTGGCGTTTCAGGTCAGATCAGAGTAGCGTAGCCTGCGTAGCAGGCGCTTGGAAGTAGTGGGAGAAAGAGAGAACGGGCGCACGCGAGGGAGACACGCGTAGCGTAGCGTAGCAGTGACGAGGCTGTTGTGGAGCACGAGGCAAGCGTGACACGGGCACTCTCTGGACGTCTCGTGTCGCGTTTGTTACGTTCAGCCGACTCACCGAGGTATCCGTTCCCCAGTTGTTTAAAAGGTGGATAGCGATATCCGCTGGATAAACTCAAAAGCATTTTCTTGGATAATTTTCTGTATTCCTTTTAAAGCGTGTAACAGCGTTTTTTTTTCTTAGATCGATTTTCCCACGAATTTTCACCATCAAATGAGCCTGACAAATCCATCGGCAAAAACCGCAGACATGAAGTTATGTTTGAATACATTTATCTTTTCCTTGTGTTATTATTGTCCTGGGATGCGCACTCATACGGGACGGTGCTTCCAGTTTCGCGGGAAAAAATGCTGCAAAATTAAATGATGCTAACAATAAACTTATCCGCTGTGGCCGGCCAGGCTCCTGATTGTAGTCAAAATGAATTAAACTTAATTTTCTTTTAAACCTTCATTATTGAACAAAAAATTTCGCACTAACCCGAGGTTATCCTAACCCAGCTTCGGACAATCAGGCCTCGCCAACCGCCTCGCCATTTATCATCCGGTGGAGCAACCGGGCCTCATTTCCAGGGTCCTTTCGACCTGCCACGGCCACGAGAATGGTAACCTAGCCGTCTATTCACAGGAAAATAGTGGAATGTCGTGTGGAAATAAGGGACTGTTTTTGTTGAAACATGAATCGCAGAGTTCCTTAATACAGTCATTTTGGTTTGGAAAAGCACTTCAGAGAGCATATAATGAGGGGAAAGCGCTAGCAAACGTAAATTCAGTGAATGAAAATGGCGAATTTGTGAACCCAACTGAACACAAAGAAACATCACTTTCAAGAAATGTGCACAAGTTAATCTGCGAATCCTTTGAACAGCGGGATGATGCTGTCATCTCATGCACAGAATGCAGTATCACCAGTGCTGAGATTGAGAATTTGGAGATATGGGTGAAAATAAGTCGCCTACTTCGAGAAGGTACTGCAAGAAACCTGGTCTGTAGATAGCTGTTCAAATGCATATATGTGTCAGGGATGTAGCTGAGGAAAAACTAAGCAGGCTTTTTTATCACTCAAGCTGTCTTTCTTACTCAACAGCAGCTTCAAAATCACCCCACGTGTTTTTTTCCAGAGCAATTTGAGCTGGTGGTAAGGTCTTTTTCAGCCAGTGAAATTAGCCGCCAGTCTAGACTTGCTGCAAGTCGACTCGACCTCTCATAAGCAAAGTGAGTGAGAAAAAGCAAGTGAAGCAAGCTTCAAAGGGGTCGCACAGCGACCGAGCGAGTGACAAAAAAATTTAAAGGACTTTTAGAAAGTCTTACCACCAGCCCCAAGGGGATACTTACTCACCAAAAAAGTTAAACAGGGTGGCTCCACCCCAACATACAACCCCTCTCCCTTTTAAGTACCATTTTGACAGAAAAAGTACCCCTTTCGTTACCTTCCATTGAAAAATGGCACCCTTTTAACATGCCTAAAGTCAAAGCTCCCCTTACTACCCCTCTGGTAAGCGACCACCTCTGGTTACGACCACCTTTGTGAAACCCTGTTTGAACTGTGACTTAAACTTTGTCATGAAAAGCTCTCATAAGCAACCGCTTCCATAAGCGACGGTGACCACTTTTGGGATTATCCAATTGGACTTTTCCTTTGTTTTTAAGCTCTCGTTAGCGACCAGTCAGAGTCTTATTTACGAAAAAATACATTGTTTAAAACACAAACTGCGAGTTTATTGAACTCATTGTTGCACTGATATTTATATTTGGGATTATTTTGGTCTAAAATATTGGATGTACAGGTTAGCCATGTCTATATCAGATATAAAGACACTCCTTAAACATTAATTTCTTTTGTTTTTCTCTTTATGAATTATTGATGAGTTTCTGAAGTTCTCGTAAGCGACCAGCTGTAGTAATGGATCTTGTGAAATTTGTGCACCCCTCAGTAGAATATCGGTCAACACTATCGGCTGATACTCGATCAACATATCGACCGACTCCCAGTCACTCTCTCAGCCGACATTGGTCGGCCGATATGTTGAGCAATAATCAACTGAGAGTCAGCCAACCTGTCGAGCAACAGATCAGCTGATAGTGTTGGTTGGTATGTTGACCACTACCGATATGCAGCCAATACTTCACTGATACTTAGTCAACAGTATAATTATTTTTGGTCTACTCAAATTTTTGTTATTACATTGTCCATGCAGCAAGTTTTAAGGAGCACGAGTGTGTGCACGATTTTTTTTGAAAAAAATAGGGAGAAATATGGCACCGCCTTTGAGAGGTATTCAAGGACAATCTAACGTTATAAAACGTGTGGACCAATGGCATATATCTAACAAGTTGACGTGGCGAGGCTGACATGGGATGACATCAACAACAGAACAGAAACTATAGTGCTGACCGATACTCAACCGAGGGTTGAGGGGTGTCTTTCAGAAGAAAGGATAATCAGCTGCATGATAGATTTTCCTACTCTTTCATATATTTGAACTCACTAATTCCCTACCCTTTGATATGCCTAAAGCCCGAAATAGGTACACCTTTCGGGCGGAGGCTCCATGTATAGGCCATTATAGGGAGTGCATTCCCCACCCTGCCAGCAGTCGGCTCTGCATGGTTCAATTCTACCTGTTACAGGCATCCTTTGTCAGTTGTCTTTGGGGCTGTTTGAGCGATCATGAAATGCATTTGGCAAATTATGAATTTTAATGACAGAATGAGCATCATTCATTATATTGTGTGAGCTCAGCCATGCATTTATAAATTGTCATCAAAATGTTTTCTTGGTCTCTAGATATTACCACTGTGGATGCTTCAAACTGTGATTATCCTGAGGCTGTGAAAAGATTACGTCCAATGTGTTGTGCCATTCATCAATTTTTCATAAACCTGGAGCAACATGAATTCGAACAAAGCTACAAAGAGAACTTAGAGTGGACTGCATGCATTGATAGATTTATAAACTGCTTTAGTTTACTCAAGTCCTCTCACCCTGCAGATCATAACTTGTGCCTTTTATTGTTAACATCCTCACTGGAACATGCCCTAGGTGATGTGTATCTATCCTATTCTGGTGCCAAACAGTGCCCCTCTTTATTGAAGGACTTACTGACTACACAAGAGCTAAAGGAAGTATTTGGTGATGCTGTTATCACCTTGCTTCACATTTTAATTGGTCCACCTACCAGTCTCAATCTTAGGAACGTTCTGTGGCATGGATTTGCTGCACCTGGAGAAGTGCCTACTCAGTAAGTGCCATCTTGGTGGTAACAAGTACAGTTATGTCACCTACTTTTAATTTATAGTCCCTTAGGCCAAGGTAAAAGGTCACTCTTCACATATGCCAAACCTTATGCTAAGGAGCAAACTCTATTGTTCTTGTTTACTGCATGTTTGTCACATTCTTTTGTGGCAAACAGACACTTTTGCTGGCGCTCTGCGTTTCTGCATTCATGAGTTCGTATTTCCTGAAAGGATAACTCACCTAGATTAGCATAGCTACCCGCAGGCATGTTAAAATAACGTATTTCAATCTTGAAAACAAATAAAATGTATGTATGTATATATGTATGTTTGGTGCATGTGAATTTTCAAGTTTGACTCAGGTGTAAGCTATTTTTACCACAATAATTAACTCCATTATGAAAATGACCACTGATTTTAAGACAGAAAGTGACAGGCAACTAAACTGAACACCATCATATAATGTGAATATTTTCATTATGTGTTTCTTTTATCGTTAGGTATGCCTCATTATTGTTGTTCATTACTGCATCTCTAAGCAACAAGTTGAAAGATGCCCCATTCTCTTCAAGAGTATTAATAAGAAGACCTTTACTGAGATTATCTGGTTGCACTGGGGAAGACAACAGCATTTTCCCTTCTTTGGAACCATCTAGTATTCAGGAGATATCTGACTTATTTTGTGCAAGTTTCTTTATTATTCCAAGCATGCTTCCTCTGTGGCTTAAAGCAGTGGATTATTTCTTGATACAAAGGTACAAGTAGTACTTGTAATCACAGTCGTTATTTACACTGTTTACTGCACTAATTTGCAATCATCTAAATATGTTTTTAATAGTCAATATTTCCATTTTTCTAACAAGAATCCTGTATCTCCTCTTCCCTAATGGTTCCCTCCCCATCTCTAACAGACGGTTCCTTCCTCTCATTCACTATTGCTCCTTCCCCCTTCTTTAATGGTTCCCTCCCCCTTCTCTAATGTTCCCTCCCCTGTCCATCACTTACATGTCTTTTGTCTTTTTTTTTTTTACTAATAGTCCCCTCTCTTCTCAATGGCTCCTTAATCTCCCCTTCTATAATTAGTTCCCTTCCTTAATACCCTATGACTTACAGTCCCTCCTCCCTTCTCTTTTGTTGCTCCCTCCACTCTTCTCTATGGCTCCTTTATTTTTTCTTATGGTTTGCTTCTTTGTGCTTGCTTCTCTCCTACGCCCTTTCCTTTCTCTTCGGGAAAGCCCTCATAGCAAACATTTCCATGACTCTTGTTCTTTGCTCCGAAGCTGCACAAAAACGTTTGCTACACAGCCTATCTTAGGGATCCCTCTCTCCTAATTAAGTCTACGTGCCTTTTCTCTAATGGCCTCCTTCTTAGCTCTTTCCATCAAGTTTGTTAATTATTATATTAACTATTACTGGTTTATACCCTGCAGATTTGACTTGTGCATTGTTCTGCTACTGCCTCAATTAGAGCATGGCTTGAGACGAGTATTTGCTTGTGTTAATAATTGTCCATCTAGAGCACTGACCGCAGAGTCTACAGTATTGTATACCACGTTTGATGAGGTAAATAAACATATTTCCTTAGATTTATTTATTAAAACTCTCTGGCAAAACCATACACCCAAGCTTATTAAAATAAATGGACAGCTTATCAGGAGTCACCTGTTCTACACCAAAAAGGTTGAAAATGGCAGTATTTTTTTTCAAACTGCAAATGTAGGAAAGACATTCTGAAATTCTTCTTGGCCAAGTTGTAATTTTTGTACCCTGTAATTTGTTTACCCACGGAGACTTGATAGGAGCCCTCCTTGTGCCTTCTTCTGGACCAATGCCAGGGCTAGCTGGAGCTCTAGTCTTAAGCATTTATTGATACTAAGAGCTTAATTTTGATGTAACTCAGGGTTTTTATACATGGAGGACATGGGGGAGATGAGTGGAAAACCAATACAACACTGTATGTGGGGTTGGGGTTTTTTGTTTGTCTTCATATGTCTGTCCACCATTAATTTATTCAGGGTTGTCAGTAAGTTTTGAAGTAGACAGCTGAGTTGTCAAAGTGAGCGGCCAGTCCAGGGATATTTATTAATTTAAAAAATGCCATCGGTAAAGAAATGCCAAGCAGAATAGCTGGCCGAAACTAACCAAGTAGGCGGCGATTTTTGCCAGCAGCTGGCTACTTTTGACAACCCTGTTTTATTATTAAATTATGATTCTTATCCTTCCAAATTACCCAGAATTACATAATATAATTTAATTTGATGGCACTGAGGACATGAAATTGTGCCCTTAGCATGTTTTTGTCCATTTTTCTTGTTAGATTCTTTCACCAGTTTTACAAGATGGTTCTGACAATCTTTTGAGACAAGAAATAGGAGAAGGCCATTTGGAATTGTTGCTTGATGTTCTTGTTCATCAGGAGGGACCAAGGATTAGGGACCACATAAGTCATGGAGAAGTTAATCTGCAGGAAATCTCACAAGAATCAGCCAATCACATTTTATGCCTATGCATCGCGTTTGCAGGATTGTACCTTTACCCAGATAAAATCAACCAAGTCAATGGTGATTACCTATTTCCAATCAGTAAAAGAATTTGTGAAATAGCAAGAAGTTACAAATCACGCTTTCATCCAGTTTCTCTTGCAAGAAAGACTGTGTGTAAACTAACACTTTCTTTATTAAAATGGCAGGATTTACCCAATCCATTTCTGGATGAATTCAGTGGTTTAGAGAGCAGTGATGAAAAATTGTCTACACAGATTGCAGATGCCACAAGAGTTTGGGAAGAGTTAATAACATCATTGTCTGTAGATAGTGTGTCCAAGCTGTTTCCACTTCAATTTGATTTGGGAAAAGTTAATACATTTGTTGAAGTTGTGGTAGAACTCTTGAACATGGCACAATTTCCTACCCTGTACAGGCCTAAAGAGGAAATAGAGGTAGCTGTCTTACTAAGGAACATAGCACAGCATGGAATTGTAATTTCTGGACAGGTCAGTAGGAACACACTTCATCTGTAGTCTGTAGGGTTCCTCATCAAAGGTTTCTTATAACCAAATGTGGTAAATATTTAGTAAAGTAAAGAGGTGTTGTCTCAAAAATTCAAATTTGTAAATTTATGAGATTGGTTGCCATATTCAGAAAGAACAAGTGTAAATGGGTAGGGGGTTATAAGCACCATTATGCTCTGATGCCTCCATACAATTTCTTTTAAAATAGGCCTGGATTGTAACATTTACATTCCTGGCTTATTTTAGACTTAAGACCTATATGGAGTCACTGGAGCATGATGTTGCTTAATATATCTCCCCACCAATTTAATTTGCTGTAAATAAACAACCTCAGTTCAAAGTAAGGTTTTTCTTTTTCAGCCATTATTTATGAATAGAGATTTTGTGGTAGTTTTTAACTTTGGTAATTGATTGAGAATAGTAACTATTTCAAGGTATACACACACTCATTAAATGTCAATTTGTTTAATATTTTCCTTGTGGATAAAATTTGTTAATTAATTTTACAAGGAAGAAAAATAGAATGCTGAAGATTTGGTTGTCTTTTCAACCAGATCTGTGAGACAGCCTCAGTGAGATTTGAACAGTGGCAGAACAGGCAGCTAAGACAGCGACAAAGGACAAACTACAAACGACTGTGGTCACAGGTTCCACTCATATTTGTAGCCCTGCAGTTTATTGTCATCATCATTATCATAGAACTGCTTCAACTGCCAAAGAACAGAGATCAAAGTAACAGGAATACTTTCATCAGGTAATAAAACTGCAGCTTTATTTTTTGTAACATGATTCAAAATCAATTGATCTAAACCCATTCAAGTAAAAGTAAAAAAACATCCATAAAAACAAAGATTTATTTTTAAGCGTCAACATTACTGTGGATACAATATAAAGAGTAAAACTAGCTAAGTAGTTTCTAAATCACTAGCTAGAATCATGGCAGTTTTGTTTTAGTACATTTATTTACAAAGTTTTCTGTCCTGGTAACCCGCATTAAATCACAGAATGACTTCTTATGTTTTCCACAAAACAGAGTCTATTAAGTAAGTTTGTGAATTTACATGCATGTTTGGAGACAACAACAACATGACATAGAGATTATGACTTGCAAATGTCACCTTTGTTTCCAAAACAACAAGCAGTTACTTTGGTAATTGTGAAGAAGAACTCCCCAGAAAACCTGTCGGTCAACTGTCGGCCGACACATTACCGACAGTTTACCGACAGGCTACCGACAGCTAACCGACAGGCTACCGACAGTTTCCCAAAGAAGAAAATTGTTGAGAAAACACGCATTAAACATGACATAGAAACGATAATAATCTCGATAGACATCACTTACTTACCGATCGATGGTAAAACGATTTCTTCCGACATGTTTATAGAAAGCTTTTGAAATGCGAAATGGATATATTATTCGCAAAAGACAACAAGGCAATCAATGAAATCAGTCGACTGACAGGTTTTTTGGGGACGTCTTCTTCACAATTACCGTTACTTTAATTTATCATTATTTTTCACACATTCTTGCAGGTTCCTCAAGCAATGTCTTCAGTGTACAGAGAACATGGAATCTCTATCCAGCACAACCAAAAACCGATGGGATGAATGTAGTACTGCAGCAAAGATGTTGGTGGAGTGTGTTGAACATTATTACGCCAAAAGATGTGAAGTTGTGTCATGATTATTTCTGTCTGTCAAATATAAGATCAAGAAAGAAAACATAAAGTTCATTATCACCCAAAATGTTACAAATTATTTGCTTATTCGCAAGAACTGCTTTCTTTGTTTCAGACTAAAGGTGCTTTGAAATTCACAACACTTCCTGTTTCACCAGTAGCAAATCCTTCTCTTGCAACAGTCTCAGTGACTCCGAAAATTTTTAAGGTCTTCATTTGCCTGTTTCACAGCAAGTTCTAGATATAAAGGGATGTTTAGTGTAGCAGATATTCTTCAAATAGCAGATGTTATCCATCAAGTTGTATTCTTGCTGTTCTTGCTATGCTTTTAGGCAGTAATTCAGCTATTTCTTCTACACAAAACATGTGAACTGTTAGATGCCATTTTCTACTAGTCTACAAAAACTAAGCAACCTTATCCCCAGGACTTCTTGGTTGCGATCCCTTTTTCTGGTACCCTGTACTATTTGATGTCATAGTTCAGGATATCACGGACATCTTCCAAATTTGGTTATCAAGAATTAGCCATGGGATTTGAGCCAATCAGAAATGGAGAAATATTAATGAATGGATGATAATAAACATTAGTGCAAATTCAGTTCTTAACAATGTTATCAAAGCCACTTTGTTTACAGCTCCAAGGTTGTGGCAGGGAACTTGGAAAATACTATAGTGACTAATTCCCATGTGACAACACAGCTTTGTCTTATGCCATGTGATATTCAGATTCCCAAAACTACATCATTTCATTAGTTTTGCCACAGTTTCGTCTTAACATACCATGATAACTACGTTGGTCCACCATGTTTTACATCTGTTGGTGATAAGTCACCTACATAAAACTTTTCCAGCAGAGATGAAATATGGTTTTTTACAACTCTGTGTGCAGGTTGTTGTGTAAACCCCTGTGTTGAGTCTCCACCAACATTTTTGAGAATGGCTTCCTGTCCAGGATGAGTGGTCACATAATCCGAGACATCATACACCTGATAACGCAATATGTTACATTGTTATATGGCTGAATCAACGAGCAGGAAAGATCAAGAAAATCCTGCATTCTGATTGGCTACCCAAGCGGCCAAGATGGGCTCATCCTGCCCACTCAGGATTTCCCGCATTAGTCCCGCAAGTAAAAGATCTTTTTTTGGCCATTATAATGAATCCTTATTGACCAAGCTTGTTCGGTCAACATGGCTAAATGTTGACATCATTCTTTTCTGCATTTATATTGACCTCAACAAAAATGCAAAAAAGAACTTTGCTGATATCCAGCCATCTTGACCTCATGCTTGGTCAATAGCACATATGTCAAGCAACCTTAATAGTTTTAGAGACTATCTCCTTACATTTGAGAGACTCTGTGACACTTGCTCATTACATTATTTCAACTTTTTTCTTTTTTATGCCTCTCATACTTTGCCTTAAGTTATTCTAATGCTTTTCATGCATTTTACTTTACACCAACTTTTTATACATATAGCTCTATGCAGAATATTTTCTCATCCCTGATGATGCGGTTGATCAGCGAAAGGTGGGATTATTTATATTTTTAATTACAGCAGTTACAGGTCTCACTCAAACAATATTTTACTAAATGCACAGTGTTTGGAAATTATCTATCTGCAATCTTTTCCTGAGTAAGTTTTTTTGTATCCATAAGAATGTTCAGATGACTCCTAAACAATGCAAAAGAAGTTCTGGCAACTTCCAAAAGTTACTGAAGATGACTAAAAACTCGTGAAGATTGTAAAGGCTATACTATTGCTGTAATAATGTGGGAAAAATAATACCATACTTTTTGAATCCTTGGGCCTTTTATGAGTACCATTTTAATATTGTAGTAACGATAAGCTAAAAAAATTTGTTGTGTAGAGTTGTTCAAATCATTGTGGGCAGCTTCTCTATGTAATTAGGCAAGAGTTGCCCACATTGGTCTCCCTCAGGGGTTAATTTGAATTTTCCCATGATTAGTAGTGTCATCACGCAACGCTTGTTAGGGGCCGACCATTTAACTCTTGAGGGTGGGGGTGGGTGATTTCTGGTCATCAAGAATTTTTTTTTCTAGCAATATGGTGGGCAGGATATTTTTTTCCCTTTTTTTCCCTTAAGCTCTTTATTACATTTGTGCTGCATGCAATTTTTTTCTTCCGACAAGCGCTTGCAGGAAATTTTTTTTCAAAATCACCCACCCCCCCCCCCAAGAGTTAAATGGTCGGCCCCTTAGGTGGGGGGTAGCGTCACTAAAACGGCTCGGAGGAAGACCCGTCTTGTCTTTGAGAGGAAGACTATGCTGCGATCTGACGTTTGAAAAAAGGCTCTTGATTGTTCCCTTACATAAAGAACAGCATACTGTGTGCACTATTGTAGGCCTCGATCGCTAGCTAGACAAAAAATCCCCACTCTGGCACCGTTAAGACATTTATTTGTCTTTTACTGAAGCTCACCGGCACGCAGTTTGATTGTTTCGACCTCCCGTAAGCAAAGATTAGCATCTTACAATAAAAGAGATTTATCGTTAACAAAACCTTCAGAAGTAATACCTTTCCACTGATTACTATCCAAGCATCGTCGACTTTGTTGTGCTTTTGTAATTCTTGCAGAGAAATCGAAGGTTCCACAAGTGTGTTACTGTTATTTGTCCTCAACATTATGTGATTGTGCAAGACCGGGAGAGATTTGGGAACTAAATGCTGATTTCCAAAACGTGCGAACTTATTGCGGGCCCGGGGGACTTAGGGTTTAAAGAACGAGTTGTGTTACGTGGATACCGTGCTTGTTTCGGCTCATTGCTTTAAGAACGAGTTATATTTTTTGTGTAGCGTGCTTGTTTTGACTCATCGCTTTAAGAACGACTTATGTATACCGACGTCCGTGCTTGTTTCGACTCATGGCTTTAAGAACGGGTTCTGTTGCCTGTTAGGCTTGCCATTCTCGACTTAGGGCTTAAAGAACGAGTTATGTTACACGTGCAGTGTGCTTGTTTTGACTCATGGCACGACTAGACTTCCTGAGATTCCATATGGAATCGATGTGTTTCCAATGGATCCGATCAGGACTCCATCGGACGACTTTCCAACCCTCCTCTAAGTATTGTTTACACTTCCGGTTTCATCTCATGACTAAACTTCCGGTAACTCAAGTGGACTCTACTGAACTTCCGGTTTCATTTTTCGACTAGACTCCGTCGGACTCCAGGTTTTGTCCACTGGAATCTGGTCGAGAGTATTGGACATGTGTGGATTAAAGCTCTAAAGTAACGAGAACTATTATTAGCAAACCAATCCTTAGGAAAACCTAAAGAAAGTGTAACACAGCGATTACAGCGACAAGACTGTACGCAGTGCTGATTCGACGCTTTGCAAACACAACTTCTCGCTTATTCTTTCGAGAATACATACCTAAGCTTCCTAAGAATTAACACAATTGAGGAATCAAAACATTTCACAGTCGAATCAGGCTTCAGGAAAATCTCACCTGGTGCTTAGACGTTTCGTAATTTTATGACCTTCATTGTATTCATCGGACTCAACAAAGCATCCATACGCATTCACTACCAGTTTAAATTTTGAACTGCTTTCTGCGGCGACATTTAACGAAGTCGGCGATATATCTTCCTCCATTTGGAAAAGAATTAAAGTCTTACTGGCCTCTTTAATACTGTCTCTTTAAGCTTCGGTTAAGTCTCGGTTAAGCGTGAAAAAAAGCTAGTCTCCCTGGCAGTCGTTTTCAGTATTGTCACGCAACGCTCTTCAAAAGTGGAAGCCAATCAAAACACTGCATTTGACAGAAGAATCATTTCAAAACAAAAACACAAGCGCGCAAAGCAGTTTGGGTGAACATGGGCCTTTAGATACACGTGAAGTGAGCCTGCGTAGCAGGCGTCGAAAGGGCTAGGGGGTAGGGGGCCACGCAGGCTACGTGAAGTGCGACGTTTGAAATTCGACAGTTTAAATTAAATGCTACTTTCGCCGTATATGCGACTGAAACATTCGAAGATTTGACTTAATAGGTTCGACTTTGATTCAAACGTGGCATTATTTAATGCATGAATCTGATGAATTTTTATTTAGAGAGACTGGAAATATTGGCAGCGAACAGAGTTAAATTCGACAGAGACGTCAGAGTTAAATTCGGCGTTTGAATCAACTGCCGTATTTAACTATTTTAGTCGACTAAAACAGGAATTAAGTTTGGCACAGGTGAAATTCCACGTTTGAACTGGACCTAACCACAGGTCAACCAAACTCGAAATATAAGCGTCGGCGAACATCGGCATTGTTGCGTAACATTCGAAATATAAGGATTTGTATGGAAAAAAACCCTATCATTTCCGTAACCTACGAAAATGAAAGGATTTCTCTCAATAAAGACCGTTATATAGAGAGAAAACAGTTTACAGTAAAACGGCCATAAATCTGACCACACAGGAGAGATGTAACACACATTTTATGTAAAGTAAGCTGTTTTTTATTGAAATCCTTTCATTTTCGTAGGTTACGGAAACGATAGGTTTTTTTCCCGTACAAATCCTTATATTTCGAATGTTACGCAACAATGCCGATGTTTGTCGAGCTTGGGCAACCTGTGTATGAACGTTAATATAGCCGGAGAAAACCTTTTACCCATAAAACGGCCATAAATCGGCCCATGGACCACACGGGAGAGACGTAACACACATTTTATATAAGGTTACGCAACAATGCCGATGTTCGCCGACGCTTATATCTCGAGTTTGGGCTACCTGCGGCCTCACGTTCTTTTCGAAAACAACGGCGAGCTCGCGAGCGAAGCGAGCGCGCGAGAACGAGCGCGGAGGGCGAGAAAGAAAAATCCCCCACCACTATCCCCTTGCGCTGGCGGTCAAAAAATCCCCTGCGGTTTACATTTTATCACCCGACGGACTTTGAAGAGAAAATAGAGGGTCTGTGAACAGGCTACGCAAGTATTCGCAAGTATGCGTTTCCAAGCTAGCGCTTTTTGCGCCCGTGAACTGATTTCATTTGTATTTTTTGAGAGTAAGTTACCTAAGACATAGAGCTGAGGCGATTAAAGTTTTCATTGCATGCACCAGCCTACATGCATCCTATGAAACAACCGCATAAACGCCATACAATTGCGGCTAAAATCGGGGCATGAATTAATTTTCAGCAGGAATCACCCAAAGGGTAAAATAATTCGCCGTCGTCTTCCTTTAGCGTAGCTACAAACGCTACTTTTTCTAAGACCTGTTCACAAATGTTGTACTGTTTTTGTTTTCATTAAAAGCTGTATCTATGCAGCATATGTAGTGTCTCGTCCTGAATTTGATGTCTTTGATGGTATCAAGCAGTCTGATATAGCGAATATGATTGGCACAATTGTGCTTTAAACGCGTGATTGTTACAAGCCTCGAATCTTTTTGCATTTTACTCTTTTTAAATGATATTTGGATGATAGTTAATGGTCATGCGAAACACAAGAAACAGACTCAGGCGTAAGAAATTTCGAATCAAACCTTACAAGTGCTCCATGAGCGAAGAAGAAGATGATTCATTTTTTTTTATTGGAGTTTTAATGTACTGAAGGTTGAAATAAATAGTTAATTTTTTGGAATTTGTGTAGAATTGGTTATGTTGTACACTCATGACTATGTATAATTTGCGCGCCAAGAATCAGTTATCCGAAAATTTAACAACTGTTAGACAATGAAAGCGGCAGGAAATAAAACGTGCTTTAATATCCCAATGAGAGGTGAAAGCCATTGTAAAAGAAAATAATGTACGTTGTCATTGAAATCCTAAGGAACTTGTAATTTCTTTCGCGAAAATTTACGTTTAAAATGACCCGTTTGACTTAAAAGGTTGGGGCTTTTATGTTGAAAGAACAATGGGCTTACTAAATTGTCAAATGGACATCGACACTATGGTATCGTGACGTCATTACTAGTTCCTGCCATGGGGGCTTTTATGTTCAAAACACAATGGGCTTGCTTAACTGTCAAATAGACGTTGACAGGCCCCCTTATGGTGTCGTGACGTCATTACTAGTACCTGCCATGGGGGCTTTTATGTTCAAAACACAATGGGCTTGCTTAACTGTCAAATAGACGTCGACAGGCCGCCTTATGCTGTCGTGACGTCATTACTAGTACCTGCCATGGGGGCTTTTATGTTCAAAACACAATGGGCTTGCTAAACTGTCAAATAGACGTCGACAGGCCTCCTTATGCTGTCGTGACGTCATTACTAGTACTTGCCTGAACATGTTTAGCATAAATTAAAAAGTTTCCCGCGCATTTTATTTATGAGCCACAATATGGGTGGTACTTAAAAAGGCCCAAAATGCTGGCACACCACTACTAACGACAACAGTACAAATAATTCAACTTTTATGGGAACTAGGCCATAACATCCAAAACAACCTGTTGACAGAATCAAACTAACGCCTAAAGATAATAAATAAAGAATTCATGGCTAGTTCAGATTATGGAATCTTTTCCCATCTTATCGAAACTTAGGCAATGTTCACACTGCACTGGATAGCTTGTGCGCCGGCACGAAAATCATACCGGACACTAGGGCTTCTGTTCACACATAACAACGGGGATTTCGGCGCGATTTCGATAAACGAAGTTGGGCCACGCCGATCTCTATTTGTTTTTGCACAAAATACCGACGCGCTTCTCACTACGTATCAATAGATAGTGAGTATGTTAGCCAGTCACATTGCAGAGGTCGAGAAAGTATGCTAGTTGGTTTCTACCCAAAATGAATACAGTGCGGCATTAAATGTACGTCTCGTGCATCATTTTTTCCTTTTTAAACTACAGGCGACCCAAGCTCGGTGCATAAATTACCCGCTAGTGTCGATACTGGTTTGCATAGTATGAACGATTTAAAGACTTTGTTTGAGAAATTCAATATAGTTGTTCAAACGTAGAAATATAGGCACAAATATAAGAATAAATTATATTTACGGAAACTTGTTCTGTTGTAGGTTTTTCTGTGTAACCTGGGCTCAATTTATGGCCACTTAGGCAGGTGACTGTTTGCAGTCTCAGCTTACAAATCTCTCCCGCATCAAAGAACCGCGCACCGATTCACCCGTCATGAGAGCGCCAAATCCTTAAGGCGAGGTCAGTCTCTTATCTTTTCCCCTCGTCATGGGCATTGCGCTGTGTTTTGTTGGAAATTTTTTTGAAAGTGTTTGGTTTTGGGCAATCTGACGTGCGCTCTACGCTCATCCACTGGATAATTCCAAACACCGCTCACGCGCAAACAGTAGACTATCTGAGGGTAGGAAGAGCAATGTTTTGTCATGCAATATTGATTACCCGGATCCCCTGACTGGTCCATGTTCGCGTTCACCACGCAACACGTAGTCATCGTTCCTGAGCGCACCTCAGATTGCCCAGGAGAAAAACTTTCAAAACACGCAGACAATGGCGGTAGAGATATTAGAGGCATGGGCTACATCTTGGTGCAATGAGTATCAAACAACCTGGTTCCAGTTCACGACCGACAAAAATCAATGGATTTTAAAACGCTTATAGAAACAGGTAGAAATTAAGTTGAATATACGCATTGCTAAAAAAAAGACTTTTTCTCTGTTTTCCCATGTTTCTATCATTCATGGGCGTACGGCCGTCACCTTCTATCAGGCCATTCTG